TGAACAGGTTGTTGTAGACTGCATGCAAGAATCGCACCCAACCAGGGCTGGAGCAATAGCACAGAGGGTAGGGCGTTTGCCTTGCATGCGGCAACCTCTGGGTTCAATTCCCAGCATCCCATATGGTCCCCCGAGCACTGCCAGGGGTAATTCCTGAGTGCAGAGCCAGGAGTAACCCCTGAGCATCACTGGGTGTGACTCAAAAAAATAAAAAAAGAATTGCACCCAACCATCTTCTGTGTTATTGCCGTCTCACAGCTGGAGTAGATGCATGTCTGTGGGCTTCTCTTCAGCAGAATTTGTTCAACCGAAGCAGTTACAGCAACTTCCTTGTCCCTGACAGCAGCCACGCCTATCACTCTGCTGTACAGTGGCAGGATCGTCCATGCTCTATAGCCCCTTAGATGCTCCTGCTGGCTGACTGGGACACAGATATCTGGCCTTGTGGGCCATTAGAAAGTTTAGCGTGTAGGACACTTGCCTTGCACATAACTGACCAGGGTTCAATTCCCTGGCATATTCCCCTCCCCCACACCCCCCCCCAACTGCCACCTGGACCAGGAGTGATCCCCCAGCACTGCACACAGACCAATCGGGTGACAGATATAAATGAAGTTTGTGGGATGATCAACTGGGTTGCATATGTAAATGAGGCACTCAGCAGAGGGCTCCATTGTGTGGTACCCCACCTCTTCCCTAGAGGTGCTGCTAACACCTTTACGGTGGGACTGGGGCCTGGCATCCCTTCTGTTCTTGGGGTGTGGGGAGTGTTTGAGTCACACTGGGCACTGCTCAGTCAGGGCTTATTCTGAGTTCTGCGCTCAGGGATCACTCCTGACAGTGCCAGATAACCAACCTGGCAGAACTGCCTTATTCCCTTCACTATCTCTTTGGTCCCAGTTTACAATTTTCAGAGGCTACACCCAGTGGTACCGGAGCCAACAGAGCATCTGTGGCATATCCTCAGCCCTAAGAGATTCCATTCTTGTGCTGAAACAATAGCACAGTGGGTTAGGGTGTTTGCCTTGCACGCGGCCGACCTGGGTTCGATTCCCAGCATCCCATATGGTCCCCCCAGCACCACCAGGAATAATTCCTGAGTGCAGAGCCAGGAGCAACCCCTGAGCATCACTGGGTGTGATGCCAAAAAAAAAAAAAAAAAGAATCCATTCTTATTTTTTGAATTAGATTGCAATATTTATGTCTTTTCTTTTATTAAGGGGAAGAGAGTTTGGGGCCAACCTGGTCAATCCTCTCCTGTCGATCTACAGGTCCCTTGCTGCCTCTCTGCCAGTTTCTTCTCCCCACACCTCTGATCTGTTCCTGAAAGAGACCCAAATCCTGAGTGGGAATGGTAGAACATTAAGTGGCCAACATGTTTTCCAGGCAGCTCTTGCTGTACCGAGGGAGACCACCATCAGTGGCTAACACATGGGGAGCCCTGGCTGTGACTTGCTGCTATGGGCTTAGTCAGAGAAGTGCCAGGGTCATCTTCCTCTGGCTCTCACTTTACAGAGCTGGGGTTTGGGAACTGTTTAGCCTTGAATCCTGGCAGTCTCCTACCGGGATTGTTTTTACTAACCTTTGGGATTTTGCTTCTCATCTGTAAAATGTTGGGCCGGAGCGATAGCACAGTGGTAGGGCATTTGCCTTGCATGCTGCCAGCCCAGGTTCAATTCCTCCGCCCCTCTCGGAGAGCCTGGCACGCTACTGAGAATATGATGCCCGCACGGCAGATCCTGGCAAGCTCCCCGTGGCATATTCGATATGCCAAAAACAGCAACAACAAGTCTCACAATGGAGACATTACTGGTGTCCGCTCGAGCAAATTGATGAATAACGGGAGGACAGGGAGACAGTGCTGAAAAATGTTAAGAATACACACACTTCGGGGCTGGAGCAATAGCACAGAGGGTAGGGCGTTTGCCTTGCACGCGGCTGACCTGAATTCGATTCCCAGCGTACCATATGGTCCCCTGAGCGCCGCCGCCAGGAGTAATTCCTGAGTGCAGAGCCAGGAGCCAGGAATAACCCCTGCGCATTGCCGGGTGTGACACAAAAAGAAAAAAAAAAAAGAATACACACACTTCAGAGTTTTGGGGGTGGGGTGAGGAGATAAATACAATGACATAAATAAAAGAGCCTAAGGAAACTGGGTCTCTGTAATCTGCCGGGAGCTTACATTTATTTCACTGAGGCTGGGAAAGTTGTTTCCAGGAAGCCAGGTGCTTAGATGGGCAATGTTATATAATCCACAACCACAAAGAACTACTTTGTTCTTTCTTGCTGTTGTTTTTTGGCCACACCTGGAACTGCTCAAGGATTACTCCTGGCTCCGTGCTCAGGGATCACCCCTGTAAGTGCCAGAGATCAAACCTGGGTTGGCTGCTTGCAATGCAAATGCTTTACCCCCTATATGCTAGCTATCTTTTTGGCCAAGAACTACTTTTGCTACAACAACAAACAAGGGCTTTGCCTGACAAACGTCCCAGGTACACCCGTCTATGGGCTGAAAACTCTGGGGCCTGCTTAGTGTAGGGTGGCAGCCCCCATCCCACAACTGCCAGAAGCCCCGGAAGCCACACTCACATCCTCCAGCCTCCTCACAGAAACAGTCCCGCTTCACAACTAACCTCGGGAGAGATGTCAAGCCAGTGGAACTCATATGTACACAAATCTTCGGGCTGAAAACTTTGGGGCTTTCTTAGTGGGCTTCTAAACTAGTTTCCCACCTAATTTGCTGTGCTCCCTCTGCACTGTCAGTATTGTGGAATCCGGAGGGGCTGCACAGCCGGGTATGTGGCTGCGCACTCCGGGAGCTCCAAGTAGGACCACAGGATCTACAGGGAGGGGACAGGATGAGAATCATTAGCAAATTAGGTGGGAAAGTAGTATAGAAGCCCGCTAAGCTCAATAAGTGAAAAAAAATAACACAGACGGCTCAATTAGCAACAGACAGCTCAGTAAACCCTCAATGACTTTCATAACAGCATTGTGAGATATAACAATTTTCATGTTTTCTTTCACTAAACATTTTTTTTATAATTCCACTTACCATTTTGTTGTTAAATATATATAAATTTTTTTTTTTTGCCTGCTAAGGGGGCAGGCTTGAGGGGGAGGGCAGGAAACTGGGGACAATAGTGGGAGGAAGGTCAGAGGTCACACTAGCGGTGGGATTAGTACTGGAATATTGAAGGCCCACAACTGTCTTATGAACGACTCTGTAAACCACCGTGTTTAAATAAAGTTAGGGAGGAAAGGGTTTTGCATTTAGCTAACCATTCTTTGCCTACTTTCTTTACCTAAATTCTTTTGGTACTCAGTATTTGTTAAATGCCTTGCTTTTGCTCAATAATTGTTAAATGCATTAAACGAAGTAAACTTTCTAATACATCCTTAGGCAAAACTTCTACTAACATCAGGGAAAGCAAGAAAGAAGTTAATTGGCTAATTAGCCAGAAGCAGTCTACAACCATATGAACTAAGTGCTAATATCAGTTCTATTTCCCAGAGACAGCCAGGTATTATGCCAAGTCGGGATTCACCACACGCTATGAATAGCAGAGCTGGGGCAGGAATGCTTGCTTGAGAGCAGAGACCCGGCTGCAATGCTTGCTTGCAAGCATTAAACTCTACTATGTCAAGTAAGACTGTTCCTAGATTTCCAGCCTCATGTAGTTGCAAGTTTTATAAGGCATGGAATGGTGGGGGTGGGGGGCTAGAAAGATAAGCCCTGAGCACCACCAGGTGTGACTCTAAAACAAAAACAAACAGAAAATAAAAACAAAACTAAATGGGGGGGGGGGGGGTGGCAAGATTACAGTATAGTGTGTAAGGTCCTAGCCTTGTACTCAGCTGACTAGGTTCAGCCCCCAGAATCCCATATGGTCCCCCAAGCCTGCCAGGAATTATCCATGAATGCTGATAGGAGTAAGCTCTAAGGACAGCTGAGTGTACCCCCCCACCCCGCCCTCCCAAAATAAAACCCAACATAATTTTAGGAACAGGTATGTTCTAAGGCATCTAAGTGATAAGGGGACTGGACTTGTTTGGAATACAAGTTAGTTCAGAGTCTCCTGGGATCAAGGGTGAGAAGGAAAACTCATTTTTTGAAAGGATCGTGCAGGGGACTGTGGGGCTGCGCTCAGGAATACCCGCTTCCCACGCTGCTCCCCGCCCCCTGCTGCGTCACCGATGACAGGGCCCCCCGTGAACAGAGCCACTGCAGGGGTCGCCAGGGCCAGCGCTGCGTGCCCGGCTGCAGCCGGGGCTGAGCACGCGGGGAAGGAGGTCTGTTTCCAAACCGTGGGACTCGTGGGAGAGTTCGTGGGAAAGGGCAGGTGCTTCCGTAACCACCCGCCTTAGCTCAGAAAAGGGGGCTTACGTTTTCCTTCGGGGGTCTTCCCATCACACTCACGCGGCTTCCGGGGGACCCTAACGAGGCCGGAGAGCGGGGAACTTAAACGACCACGTTCAAAAGAGAGACGGGGTCGCAACGGGGGCTAAGCGGCGCCTGCCCCACCAAGCACCTTTCTTTCTCCGGCTGGGGGTCCTGTTCTCCGCACCCTCCCCCCGGGACGCGCCCCTCCCGCGGCCTCCCTCCCGCCTCCCTCCCCAGTTTCCACCCATCCTCGTGATGCACCGCGGCCGGCGTGGTCCTCGCCCGACGGGGCCGAGCCGGGCTGCGGGGGCCCGGGCTCTCGGGACCTCCGCGTGACCACCCCGCAGGGCTCCCTCCCGGGCCGGGCGAAGCCTGCGGGGGCGCTGCCCGCTGCGCCGACGAGCGACCCGGGACCGGCGGCTCCCAGCGCCCGACGCGGGCCCGCGGGCCGAGCGCTCCCGCACTCGCCTCCCGGCCCCCACCCCGCGGCGCGCGGCCCGATGACGTCACGCGGCCGCGGGCGGCCCCTGGGATACGCGGTAGTTCTCGAGGCGGGGCCTGGGCTGCGCCGCCCGCCCGGGAGGACTACGTTTCCCAGAAGGCCGCGCGGCGGCGCCCTCGGAGACGCGCGGGGCTGTGATTGGCTGGCGAGCCGGCCGCACGCGGCGGAGCCCCGAGAGCGGCTCTGTTGCGACAGAGGCCGAGCGGCGAGGCCCAGTGAGTTGGGGGAAGGGGCGCCGGGCGCGGGTGGGGGTGGCGGCCGGTGGGGTGAGGGAGCACGGGACGGCCGGCCGGAGACGCGGTCGGAGTGGAGGGGACGGCGAGCACGGAGGAAGGACCCGGGGGGGCCGCTGACGGGCCCGGGGTGGGGGCGGCGAGCGCGGCGACCGAGCGGGGGACCCCCGGAGCCCCCCTGGGCCGGGGCGGGACGGAAGCGCCCGGGATGGAGCCGGCCGGGCGGGACGATCGGCGGGAGCCGCGGAGGAGGCGCCGCCGCGGGAGAGCGGGGTCGGGCCGGCGGCGGGGGGCGCCGGGGTCGGGGGCGCGACCCCCCCACGTCCCGCCGGCTCAGGGCTTGGGGGTGCTCGCCCCCCGCCAGGCTCCCCGGAAGACCAGCAGCCTAGCCCCCGCGGTTCGTCACCATGCCCTCCGACCTGGCCAAGAAGAAGGCGGCCAAGAAGAAGGAAGCGGCCAAGGCGCGCCAGCGGCCCCGCAAGGGACACGAGGAGAACGGGGATGCCGTCACCGAGCCGCAGGTGGCGGAGGAGAAGAGCGAGGCCAACGGCAGCGAGGCCACAGGTGACGATGGGGTGGAGCAGGATCGGGGCCCGGAGACACCCCCCACCCCACCCCAGCACCCGGAGCACAGGAGGCTCGAGCCTGGCCGCGAGGCAGGAACCCAGAGCGCCGGTCCCCGCCGCTGGCCAGAGAGCTGGGCCGCCCGGGGAGGCCGGTCCTGGCCTCCATCCCAGATTCCACTTCTAGGTGCGGTGGCCAGTGCGCGGCGCTCTGCGCCATGCACAATAGTCTTGTCCTTCCTGGGGTGATGACTGAGCCCACAGGAACCCAGCGGGGTTCCCCCAGGTGCTGGTAGAGCAGCTTTGGGTGCTGGGGCGCTGTGCACAGCCGCCCTCCGAGAAAGGCCAGTGCTCATGAGCACTGTTCAGCCGGGGGTCCACGCGTGCAGAAAGGTCGAAGACCAGTCCAAATGGAGAAACATGGTGGGGGGGGGGGCAGTAAACAGTGTTTCTAGGCTCTTGGCAGTCGTTTCCCGGCCTTGTCTGCCTCCTAGAAGATGCACAGTTCCCATGTGCCATCCAGATCGTGACTGCCCCATAAATCTTCATGCTTTGCTTTTCCTGTTGAAGTTTGTTGTTGTTAATTTTGCTTTTTGGGGCACACCGGGCAGTGCACAGGGGTTACTCCGACGGTGCTCAGGGGACCATATGGGATGATGGAATCGAACCTGGGTGGTCCGTGTGCAAGGCAAACAGGCAAAGTTTTAAGAAGCACAGATTCAGTGATACAGTTGCATCTCTCTCAGAGTTAAACACTTTGTTCCTTTCTCCTTGCTGATCTATGAATGTAAGAGCCCCCCCTTAGCTCTGTGGATACATTTTTGTAGAATGGGGATACATTTTTGTTTGACCAACCTGTAGATACTAAGTAAAGGTTTGGGCTTTTTTGTTTGTTTGTTTCTGAGTCTCGGGTCTCACCTGGCCATGCGCAGTGGCCAGGAACTTGGGCCCAGGCGTCGTTCAGGTCCTGGGTCCCTGGGTGGCAGAGTGTTGGCACTGTCACTTGCTCTCCTTGCCCCGGACCTGTTCCTCACCTCGGCCCTGCGGTGACTCTACAGAGCCTCGATGCCCTCGTTCATCTGATTTGATCTGCGAAGTGAAATCAGATTCAGTGTGGGGATCACTGCTGGGATTTCCTCAGTGGGGGCCCCACCCTTGCCGACCCTGCGTTTTCTCTCTGGACTTCTCGGAAGCAACGCAGGGGAGCGTATGAGCCTTTGCCAAGCTAGTGGCCCCTGGCTTTGGGGTTGGGGACCAGCCTGAGGCCGTCGCACTTGACCTTGAGCCCAGGGCCTCTGAAAAGCCCCTTCCGGCATCCAGACCTTCAGTGTTTGGTGGGGCCAGAGCCACCGGTGCCCAACGGCTGCTGCTGTGCTGCTGGGTGGCACCGCAGGACCCACACCGTGTCCACGGGCCTCGCTTTTAGCCGTCGGCCCGGAGGATGGCTCCCGCCGAGTGAGCACTGCTGGGGCTCCTTCCTGCCTTCTGGCCATGCAGAGCCCCACTCCCTGCGTGCTCTGAAACGCTTGGGTCTGTCCTGGGTCTCTTCCCAAGTCGCTTCTCTGGGCCCTCCCTAGAAGTGGACCTGCTGACCAAGGAGCTGGAGGACTTTGAGATGAGGAAAGCCGCGGCCCGGGCGGTCACCGGCGTCCTCGCCTCGCACCCCAACAGCACCGACGCCCACGTCATCAACCTCTCCCTCACCTTCCACGGCCAGGAGCTGCTCAGTGACACCAAGCTAGAGCTCAACTCTGGCCGGCGGTACGGCCTCATCGGCCTGAACGGCATCGGTGAGGCCGGGGAGGGGTCCGGAGCAGGGCCAGTGCGGGGGACGCAGGGGGACGCAGGGTCTGAGGACCGCGTAGGTCCAGGCCTCGGGTGTAAGTGGGGGTTGGGGGGAATGCCCCCCAAACATATCAAGGAGGGGGTGAGGAAAGGGGGCTTGGGGAGCGCTGGGCTGACCGTGGCCTCCCCACCCCCCGCCTTTGGCCGTTCCTGCCTGGCCGCCGGGCACTGCAGGGAAGTCCATGCTGCTCTCGGCCATCGGGAAGCGGGAAGTGCCCATCCCCGAGCACATCGACATCTACCACCTGACGCGGGAGATGCCCCCCAGCGACAAGACGCCGCTGCAGTGCGTGATGGAGGTGGACACGGAGCGCGCCATGCTGGAGCGGGAGGCCGAGCGCCTGGCCCACGAGGACGGTAGGCCCTCGGCGGGTGGGGCGGGGGGGGCGCTCCCTCCCTGGGAACCCCGCTCACGCCCCCCGCACGGCCCGCAGCCGAGTGTGAGAAGCTCATGGAGCTCTACGAGCGCCTGGAGGAGCTGGACGCTGACAAGGCAGAGACCCGGGCCTCCCGCATCCTGCATGGGCTGGGCTTCAGCCCCGCCATGCAGCAGAAGAAGCTCAAGGACTTCAGCGGGGGCTGGCGGATGAGGGTGGCCCTGGCCCGGTGAGTCCCCTCCACCCCACCGCGAGACCGCCACAGGGGCTGCTGGGATCGGGGGCTGGCCGCCAGGGAGGGTTCCGGAACCAGCCCTGAGTGGGGGGCAGTGCGGGTGTGCCCCCCTCCTGACTCCCTCCCCCGCTCCCCCCGCCCACACCACCACCCTTCCGGGTTCCTCAGTGCTTTTGGTCCTTGCTGTTCCCAGCTGCCGTGGCCTGACCCCAGGGCGCATCTGCTAACCGGCCCCCTGCCCAGCCTCCCGCAGCTCCGATGTCCTGGCCCTGCTCCAGCGCTGCTGTCCGGTCACTGGGCTCTGGGGCTCGGCTTGGTGCCGTGCCGCTCGCAGCCGCGGGCGGGACCCAGGCCTGTTCCCTTCTCCTGTTCTGAGATTCATCCGAGGAGAGATTCCCGGGCCTTCTGGCTGGAATGTGGCCGCCCCACGGCAGGGCTAAGCCGTGTGCTGTCCCCGAGCAGAATCTCTGCGGCCCCCTCTGGCTGGTGGGCGACCGCCCGCTTCTCTCGGCCGTTTCCTGCCACTCGTCTCCGCTCTTGAGTCCAGGTTTCCCTCCTTGCCCCGCTCTCCTCAGAGCCCGACCCTGGCTCTGTCAGGGGGCACCCCCGGGTGGCCGCGGTCCTGACGGGCGTCTCCCCCCGCAGAGCGCTCTTCATCAGGCCCTTCATGCTGCTGCTGGACGAGCCCACCAACCACCTGGACCTGGACGCCTGCGTGTGGCTGGAGGAAGAACTGAAGACGTAAGGGACCAGCGGGGGCAGGGTGGGGCGGGCGAGCTGGGGAGGGGGAGAGGCAGGGAGGCAGGGTGGCCCCGAAGGAGGTGAGGGCGCGCCCTGGGGCCGAGATGTCTGAGGGTGCAGCTGGGCATTGATGTTCAGCTTGGAAGGAGCAGTGACGGTAGCACCTGGTGGCCCTGGGGCCGAGTCACCTGAGTCACTGGCGTGGGCTCTGCTGACGTTGGAGTGGGGGGCCTCTCGGCCCGCTGAGGCGTGACCTCTGCCGTGTGCGTGTGGGGCTTGAAGGCACGCGGACGCCACACCCTGGCCGGCGCGTCCTGAGCAGCACCCGGGCGGCTCTCCGGGAGGGGCTCGGGTCCCTGCGTTCCCCACCTGGGCAGCCCTGCCCTCTGGGCGCCCCCCTGACTGGCTCTTTGACTTTGCAGTTTTAAGCGCATCCTGGTCCTCGTCTCTCATTCCCAGGACTTCCTGAACGGCGTCTGCACCAACATCATTCACGTGCACAACCGGAAGCTCAAGTATTACACGGTGAGCGGCCCCGCAGACGCGCCTCACCGGCAAAAGCAAAGCAAAACAAACCACCGGCCTTTCGGCCACAGAGAGGGCACCGCTGCAGGGCACTGGCCTTCCATGCGGCTGGCCCAGGGTTGAGTCCTGGCACCTGAGCGCCGCTGGGTGTGGCCTTGAAAACAAAACCGTAGCACGTGGTTGAGTCAGATGTTAGCTCCGTCAGGAGAGGCAGAGCTGGGCTGGAGCCAGAGTCGATGGCTCGTGACCAACCCGGGCTGGGTCCCTGAGGAGAAGCCCTGAGCACCACCGGGGGTGGGGCCAAGACCAGAAATGAGAACGAGGCGTCGCCTAGCCGCTCTGTGACTCTCAGCCGCGGTCCGGGCCCTTCCCTGCCAGCGGGCGCCTCCCGGGCTCCCCGCTGAGCGGCGATTTGTGCCCCCGTGATTGCCACACTGCCTCCTTTTTTGTGCACCCTGGTTCTCGGACCCCAGCATCCCGCATTTCTGCCTCAGCTCTGTCACTTGAAAGTGTCTCCGAAAGGCTGAAAGTCGTCTTTTCTCGGAGCTCGGCTGGCCGGGCCGGGGGGGACCATATGGGATGCTGGGGATCGAACCCGGGTCGGCCGCGTGCAAGGCAAACGCCCTACCCGCTGTGCTATCGCTCCGGCCCCGGAAGAGTTCCTTCTTGAGGTGGCCGGAAATGGGGGCCTCCGGGCCAGCGCCTGTGGGGACTGTGTCCCTGAGAGCGCTCTCAGCCATCGCTCTTTCCAGTTTGGGGGCCACACCCAGCGGTGCTCAGGGCTTCCTCCTGGCTCTGTGCTCGGGGATCAGCCCTGGTGGGCTTAGGGAACGCTACGGGTGTAAGCAAGCCCCTCTGTCCCCCGAATCCCGCGCTTTGGGAGAGCGCGACTGTAGGGCGGAACCTTTCCTGCTTTACTCTCTCCCGGCCGCGGTGTGCGAAGCGGGGCCGGCTCAGAGGCCCTCTGTGTCCCCAGAGCCCTGGGCGAGAAGGCCTAGGGCGTGGGGGCAGGGGGGCAGCCCCCGCTGACCGGCCGGCCGGCCCGTTTCCACAGGGTAATTACGACCAGTACGTGAAGACGCGGCTGGAGCTGGAGGAGAACCAGATGAAGAGGTTCCACTGGGAGCAGGACCAGATCGCGCACATGAAGGTGGCCCGGGCTCGGCGGTCGGGAGGGGAGGGGCGCCCGGGGCCGGGAGGGCGAGCGCGGGGCCAGCCCCCACTCCACACCCCTGCCCGGCCTCTCGCAGAACTACATCGCCAGGTTTGGCCATGGCAGCGCCAAGCTGGCCCGGCAGGCCCAGAGCAAGGAGAAGACGCTGCAGAAGATGATGGCTTCGGGGCTGACGGAGCGGGTCGTGAGCGACAAGGTGGGTGCGGGGCGCGGCCAGTGCCCGGGCCGGGGGCTCCCCGAGCACCGTGTCGCGAGCACTGCCCCTTCTTCCAGACCCTGTCCTTCTACTTCCCCCCGTGTGGCAAGATCCCGCCGCCCGTCATCATGGTGCAGAACGTCAGCTTCAAGTACACGAAGGACGGGGTGAGCGCCCGAGGGCGGGGTGCGGGCCACGGAGGCCGGGTGCGGGGGCCGGGAGCGTCCGGCTCACGCTCACGACTGGGCTTGCTGCCCTCGGAGTTACAGTGCTTCCTGTGTGTGACCGGCCCTCAGCCAGGGCGTTGTGCCGTGTGGGCCCCCCGCTCCACACTCCCACGTCCAGGGCCTGGGTATTGGGTGCTGGGCTCGTTGCCCTCACCTGGTTCCCGTCTCTCCCCTCCCCCCTCCAGCCTTGCATCTACAACAACCTGGAGTTCGGGATCGACCTGGACACGCGGGTCGCTCTGGTCGGGCCCAATGGAGCCGGGAAGTCCACGCTCCTGAAGCTGCTCACTGGAGAGGTGGCGCGGCACGGGGTGGGGTGGGGTGGGGTGGGGGTGGGGGGCTGCTTGCCCGGGGGCGCTGAGGCTGGTGTTGTCTCAGTGTGGCTGTGCGAGAGTGATGGCTCTGAGCTGCCGTGGGCCACGGGCACGTTGCACGAGGGGCCTGGTGCGTCCCGTGGCAGCGTGGGTCACTGAATGGGGGCGTCTCTGTGTCCGCGTGGAGCCCGTGTCCTGGTCCCTTCCTGCGCCTTTGGATTCTTCTGTACCTGAGTCGCGTTGTCCTGCTCCGCCCGTCTTTGCTCTCCTGGACCCCAGGCCCGCACGTGCCCTCGTGGCACTCCAGCCGGTGGCTCGGTGCTGGCCAGGGGCCATGCGTCCCCTTCAGTGGGGGTGCTTGCACACGTGCCTGCTGGGCTCCCTGGACCTGGACCCCAGCCCTGCCAGCCATGAGGCGGCCTCAAGTCCCGCCCTAAATGCTGTCACACTGGCCAGGGCGGGAGCCAGGGCAGTGAGGGAGAAACTCTAAGAAGTTGTGACGGTCTTTTTTTTTTCTTTTTGGGTCACACCCAGCGGTGCTCAGGGGTGTCCCCTGGCTCTGCACTCAGGAATTACCTGAGGGGCCCCGTGGGATGCCGGGGACGGGAACCCAGGTGGCCGCGTGCAAGGCAGACACCCTCCCCGCTGTGCTCTCGCCCCGGCCCAGTGGGGAGCGCCTTGCCGTCCTGCCCTGCCTCTGACCCTATTTCCTCCTCTTTGTCCGTCATGCCCAGCTGCTGCCCACCGACGGCATGATCCGGAAGCACTCCCACGTCAAGATCGGCCGATACCATCAGGTACAGCCGGGCGGCTGCTCTCCTGCTCGCGCGGGCCGGGCCAGGCGGTGGTGGCGGCAGCAGCTGTGCCCGCGGCCCCCTCTGAGCCACTCCGCGCCGCCCACAGCACTTGCAGGAGCAGCTGGACTTAGACCTCTCGCCCTTGGAGTACATGATGAAGTGCTACCCGGAGATCAAGGAGAAGGAGGAGATGCGTAAGATCATCGGGCGCTACGGCCTCACGGGGAAGCAGCAGGTGAGGGCGGGGCGGCTGGCGGGCGGGGCTGGGGGATGGACGCCTGCACTCCTGGGTGGCGGGCCGGGGAGGGGCGCCGAGGGGGCCCCATGCTATAGCGGCCTCCGTCCTCCTCCGTCCGTGCAGGTGAGCCCCATCCGGAACCTGTCCGACGGGCAGAAGTGCCGGGTGTGCCTGGCCTGGCTGGCGTGGCAGAACCCCCACATGCTCTTCCTCGACGAGCCCACCAACCACCTGGACATCGAGACCATCGACGCGCTGGCCGACGCCATCAACGACTTCGAGGGCGGCATGATGCTGGTCAGCCACGACTTCAGGCTCATCCAGCAGGTGAGGCCCGGGCGGGGCATTGGGCACCGCTGGCAGTAGAGCAGCTGTCCCGGGAGTCGCGCTTCCGGGAGGAGGAGGGGAGATGCGGGGACCGGGGACGAAGCCTCAGGGAGTCGGAGTCGCCCAGCCCGGCTGGTGACCGGCCCCCCGGGCACCCCCTCCCCCCAAGGCCAGCCCCCCGCCACTCCCTGGGCCCGGGCGCAGCTGCTGGACCTCCGTCTCCGCAGGTCGCGCAGGAAATCTGGGTCTGCGAGAAGCAGACGATCACCAAGTGGCCTGGGGACATTCTGGCCTACAAGGAGCATCTCAAGGCCAAGCTGGTGGGTGAGGAGCCCCAGCTGCCCCGGAGAGCCCACAACGTGTGAGCCCCCGCCAGCCCCCGGGGCCACGTCTGCACTGCTGCAACGCCCCCTCCTGCCTTAGCTGCCCGACCGCCTCCTGCCCCCTCTCCTCGCCCGTGTCTGCTGTGGCTGGCGCCTGGCCCCCGCCCAACGGTGATGCAGGCCGGCACCCGAGGGGTCGGCCCGGGCCCTGGCCCGGGTGCGACCCGCCAAGGAGCCGCCAAACATCCTTGTCTTCCGGGTTTGGTGGTGCTGGCGGGACACCCCCCCAGCACCCCGCCCCCCATTCTTGCTTCCGGTTTGGAGCTCCCGGCCAGGGCCTCCGTTCTGGTCGGTTTTTAAATAATTATTTAACGGTAACGTTTAGACCTGCGTGTTATCTACAAAGCGCCCAATAAAGAAAGAAGCATCCATGCTCCGTGCCTTCCTTCGGGCCCTGGCCCTGCCTGCCTCCGGTGGGGCCCTAAGCTCTCCCTCACTGCCAGCGGCTCCTCCATCCCGTGGGCTCCCAGGGACCTTGGCCTGGGCCCTGCAGCCCCCAGGTGCCCCGATGGCTGCGGCAGCCTGGAGCCCGTGCCTCCCACTCCGAGTGGGTGCAGGGGGCACCCGCTGTTCAGCTCTGCCTCCCAGGGAATCCAGCCGAGCTCTGTTGCCCGCTGTGGGGATGGGTTGGGGTGCCAGAGCTCTCCTCTGACATGCCCCTAAATCCAGGGACACCCACTCCCCTCCTTGCCTCCCAGACCCTCCAGCGCGTACAGGAACCTTCGCCGCACCCATCGCAGCTCTAGGACCTCTCTGGGAGTGGAGGGGCTGCCCCCCGGAAGTTGGGGACGGCAGTGCTGCCTCAGGCACAGACCCTGGAGGGGCACGGGACAGCACAGAACCGTGGCGCTCTGTGACAGGACGCTCAGGGCTGGGCTGCAGTGCTGGGGTTCCCCTTCCCACCCCGACCCTGGGGCCTCGCTTTGCTGCCTTGCACTTGGACTAGGAGTCAGGTCTGGAGTCAGGACAGGAATCAGGAGTCAGGACACCTGGGCACCTTGGAGCACAGATGGGGGGGATGGGATGCGCCCCCTGTCCAGCAGAGAGTGGGGGCTTGGGTGGCCACATGGTGCCTGGGGCTTCAGAACCTGCAGGAGGGAGGTGCTGGACTGGGCTGGATGCCTGAACTGGGCTGGATGCCTGGACTGGGTTGGACACCTGCTCTGGGCTGGACACCTGCTCTGGGCTAGATGCCTGGACTGGGCTGGACACCTGGACTGGGCTGGACACCTGGGCACCTGGACTGGGCTGGACACCTGGTCTGAGCTGGACACCTGGACTGGGCTGGACACCTGGGCACCTGGACTGGGCTGGACACCTGGTCTGAGCTGGACACCTGGTTTGTCCAGAAAAAACAACATCTTGGCGATTTAATGCTTCAAAAACGTACCAAAGGGGATGGAGCAATAGTGTAGCCGCTAAGGCAAGTGCCTGGCCTGGGTTTGATCCCCAGCACCCCACATGGTCCCCAAGCGCCACCAAGAGTGACCCCTAGCACCACCAGTTGTGGCCCCTCTGAAAACCCAAAACAAGGCACCTAGTCCACACAGCTCCTGGAGCCGTGCAGAGGAGAGATGGTGCCCAAGGCGGCCACAACCTGGGTATGCAGTCCCGGGCTTGACCCCCAGCCTGCACGGTCCCCTCAGCACCACTGGCTGTGGCCCGGAAGCCAAAGCAGGACAAAAGCCCACACTGTCCTCCGGGGAGCCCCTCCCCAGGCGAGGCCTGTCTCCGCCCTTCCCACCGGCCTGAGGCCCAGGGAACCTCTGGGCTCCTGAAGCACAGCCCCTTCTTCCCTCTGAGCCCACTCCCGGGACCCCACAGGTCTGCTGGGGACAGGGGCTTCCTGGGAAAGACTCCCCTTCCCAGTGCTCATTACCGGGTTCAAAGGTGCAGTTCACTCCGCGTGGCCCAGCAACGCTCCCCACCATGGGGGGAGACCCGAGACGGCTGCTCCGGGCAGCTGCGAGCTTCTTCGCCTCTGGCCATCTGGGAAAGCTTGGTGGGGCCACGCCCTGTGGCTTTGCGGCTCCGGCTCCGTACCCGAGGGGCCCTACGTGGTGTTGGGATCAAACTGGGGCTGGTTCCCTGTGAAGGAGCGCCTTAGCCGCTGTGCGCTCTGACCCAGTGCTTCAGTGTCCAGCTTTATAACGGAGCGGTAAGGAGAACAAGCAGGCCAGAGTGATACTCAGTGGAGAGGGCACTGTCTTTTTTTATTTTAACGAATCACTGTGAGATCGTTACAGACTTACAAACTTGTGATTCATTTCAGTCATACAATGCTCGAGTACCCATCCCTCCACCAGTGCCCATTCTCCACCACCAATGATCCCAGTGTCCCTCCAGCCACCCCGACCCCTCCCCACCCCCTGCCTCTGTGGCAGGCACCTTCCCTTTTACTCTCTCCTTTTGGGTGTTATGGTTTGCAATGCAGCTACTAAGCGGCCATCATGTTTGGTCCGTCGTCTACTTTCAGCACGCATCTCGAGAGGGCACTTTCTTTGCATGCGGACAAACCAGGATCAGTCTCCAGCATCCCAGAGGGTCCCCCGAGCACTGCCAGGGGTAAATCCCAACTGCTGAGCCAGAAGCAAGCCCTGAGCACTGCCAGGTGCGGCCCAAACCCTTGCTTACCTCCCCCAAAAGAGCAAACAAGGAGCTTGACAGTACAGGGGAGAGGCTTGCCTTGCGGCTGGTCAGCCTAGGTGGATCCCCGGCACCTCGTAAGAGTCCCCCAAGTCCCTCCAGGAGAGTGATCCCCGAGCACAGAGTCAGGAGTAAGGTCTGAGCACTGCTGGAAATGACCCCTCCCCCCCAAAAAAACAAACAAGTCCCTCTTTTCATGTCTCTTGCATGTTTGCTGAGTGCCCAGCTCTGGGGGGTGGCAGAACCAACCCCTGCTAACCCAGGACCCCCCCTTAAGTCACCCCGACACGGGCGTTTCTCCCAAGGCCACAAGCATCACGAACTCGTATGTGAACGAAGCGTTTGAGTGGCTGCCGGGTGAGGCCTCCAGCTGGCCCTGAGCTCGGGCCACAGGAAGCTGAGGTTGCCAGAGGTGTGGGCGGCCGGGCACCTGCTGCTGCCCAGTGGGCTGGCCGGGCACGCTGTGTCCGAGGGCACCAAGGCCATCACCAAGTCCCCCAGCACCAAGTGACCCGACCTCGGGAATAAAGGGCAGCTTACTCCCACGTGATGTGATTGGCTGGGGGCAGGGGGGCGGGGCACGGCAGCCTCACTACGTCTGACGCTCCCACAGTGCCACTGCACACTGGAAACGGTTCTGGGGCGTGTCCACGGGCCTCTGGTCGCCCCTTTGGTCCAGATCAGGAGCTGCTGACCACTTTGCACCCTCTCAAGGCTGGAGGCTCCGCGTGAGTGACAGTAAGGTCACAGCTTGACAATGCCATTTCCTGCAGAGCGTCGTGTTTGTTGGGGTAGGGGGGCACCCAGAGGAGACCCAGAGTTATTCTTCAAGGCCCAAGCTCAGAAGGCTCCAAGCCTGTCAATACCTGCAGCTTGCCTGGCAGGAGCGGCCTCTCCCTCCCTGGCCTTCCCTGTCCCGTGACTCAGAACAAGCCTCTACGTAGGAGTGGGTTTTGGAGGATCCTAGCTTTTTTTTTTCCTTTTTGGGTCATACCCGGCGATACTCAGGGGTTACTCCTGGCTCATGCACTCAGGAATTAACCCTGGCAGTGCTCGGGGGAGCATATTGGGATGCTGAGAATGGAACCCAGGTCTACGTGCAAGGCAAATGCCCTCCCCGCTGTGCTACGGCTCCGGCCCCCTTGAACGTTTCTTTCCACCTCAAAGACTTACACAAACGTCCAGAACCCCTTGGGGTGTCATCACTGTCATGCGCTCCAGTCTGGTCTCGGGGGCTGTCTGTGCACCCAGCTTGCTCTGTCTTGCGTGGACCCGTCAGCTCTCTTCCAGGTCCTGCGAGGAACAGGTTGAGAGATTGGGAGAGTAAGTCCCAAACCCTGGGCTGGAGCGATATAGGACAGCGGGCAGGGCACTTGCCTCGCGTGCAGCCGACCCGGGTTCGATTCCCGGGCATCCTATATTGTTGGAGTACAAGGAGCTTAGGTTTATCTGGTTACACCCATCAATCTGGTCACACCCATCACAGTGCTCCTGAAGCACTTCCACTTCCATTGTGTTTATCTGTAAACAGTCTTCCCTATGCTCTCCTTCCCACCCAGGTAATCAGCTTTCCTCTTAATCAGACTTTGTTAATTTGTAAGATCAGTTTCCCAGAAATCTATGATTTTCTATGTATGAGTGAAATATTGCCTTTCTCCTCTCCTTATGCCTTATGAACAGTTTAGTTTACCTTAAAGTAATATCCTTTTTGTATAGATACAGGAAGACCGTTAACATCATGCTTTGTAACTTAGGATTTGATTGGCTTTGAATATTATTCACTCCCGGGCATCTGCTTTCTTGACTTAAGCCTCAGTTGCCCTTAGTTCCTAACACCCCAAAAGCAGAGTCCTGATGAGGGACTGAATGGACCCAGGGCAAGCGGCGAGCTACCCTGGCAGCGAAATGGGCCAGGCCAAAGTGCCACGATTCTTAACTATAAGTTAAGAGTTTGATCATAGACAAATGCTGTCATGATCCAAAGGTAACAACAAGACTAGGATCCTGCTAGGGGTGGGAAAGACTATCTGGCCTGAGCACCGTAGTCTGAGATCGAGATGGCCCTAGGAGAGCAATTCTATAAGTTTAAGATATTTCTTACTGTATTCATACAAAATGATGTATATTATAGTCTTATATGTTTGTCGGACAAGGAGAGGAGAGGCACACCCATGGGATTCTGCTCTAGGGTGGGTCCTCCTGTTGAGGAAGGATCTGTCCTAGGAGCGACCTTCCCTGAGGCTAAGATTTCTACTCCTATTGATTGTGACCACACCTATGTGTAATTGTTTCCCCAATTCCTCTTGGAGAGAGATATAAGGAGACGGTAGAATGGGCGGGGCAGAGACAGAAGGAGAAGAGAAGGAGAGACAGAGAGAGACAGGAGCAGAGACAGATGAGGAGAGAATCAGAATAAACTACGACTAATACCAACCAGCCTGGCCCTCGTTCCTTCCTCCGCCTGACCATCAACCATCGACCTCTCCGGGGTGGGAGAAGGGTGAGACTACTGAACGCGGGCGGCGGGAGAGATAGAGCCACCGCCGCTGTGTGTGCTGTGCCCCCTTTTTGTGAGTTTACACACCATATAGTCGCCAAGTACCACCAGGAGTGATCCCTGAGAGCCAGGAGCAAGCCCTGAGCACCATCACCAGGTGTTGTGGCCCCAAACCATGACGTTTCCTCTGTGATGATTCATCCTGTCGTGACCACCTGTGTGCTGCGGACCCATAAGCCTCCCCTCTCCAGGCTTGCGGGGGCATGCGTGGGGGGTGACTCCAGCGCCGGCAGCCTGGGCTGACACAGTGACAAACGCAATCCCTGGTCCGGCTTGCCCGCGGCTGGGGTCTGCCCAGTGAGGCTCCTTCCTGCTGCTGTGCCTGTGCCCGGCTGTCCCCAGTCCCTCCGGAGTGTGACCTGGCTGACCACAGAGGTGGCTTCCAGGGCCGCCTGCAGTGAGGGGGCACGCGAGTCTGTGTCTGACACCCCACCTGCCCCCTCTCCCCCCCTCCGCTGCCTGTGCCCATGGGTAACCGGGAGGGGGAGGGGGGACGCCGTCTGAGTTCCTGGGGACAGGCACAACCACAGAAGCTGAGCCCAGCTCCCAGTCCTGGTCGCTCCCGTGTGTCACGTGGCCCCCAGCATGGGAGCTCACCGGTCCGGAGCCTCAGCTTTGTGGTCACAGAGGGCATCCCCTCGGAGGACCCCCACTTCAGGGGCTGGCCGTGCGGCACTGGGGGAGGACGTCCACCGAGACGGCTGTCCCCAGCCCTGTGCCCCCGGCCGCCCCTTAGCCACCATAGAACATTGGTACAATGGAACAGAACTCCCCCAAGCAAGCAGTTCTCTGCCTGGTTCTGAGGGCTGGGGTTCAGAACCTTCAGTCCGGAAGGTTCCAGACCACCTCCAAGAGCAGTGTGAGGGGAGGCACCATGTCCGAGGGGTGAGTGAGGGCGGTGCGAAGCCCCCAGGGCCGGCAAAGAGCAAAGCACCCTCCTGGTCCCGGGCGGAAGGGCTGGTGGGGGGGAGGTTCTCAGGGTCTCCCACCACCCCAGACGCCCCTGGCTGGTTTCCCTCCACCCCTCAACACCTGCATCCACTCTGCCCGCACCATTTCCCACTCACTGCAGCATCACACACACACGCACGCACACACTCACACACACGCACACACACCCACACACGAACACACACATGCACACACACGCACACATATGCACACACACGCACACACACAAACACACATGCACACGCAAACACACACACGCGCGCGCACACATGCACATGCAAAACGCACACACGCACACCCGAGCACACACCCCCACACATGCACACGCACGTACACACATGCACACACGCACACACACATGCACACACACACACATGCACACACACACGCACACACACGCAAATGCACACACACCTCACACACGCACGCACACACATGCATGCACACACGTGCACACAGGTGCACACATGCACACGCGCACACGCACACACACACACACATACATGTGCGCGTGCGCAGCTCGTCCCGGACTGGGACATGCCACCCCCCACTCCCCCCACCTCCCGCTGCCTCCGGGCCGCCTCCCTCGCCTCCACTCCGCTCTCCCCTGGGGCACGCGGCCGCTGTCGCTGTCGGGGCTCAGGCCGGGCGCGGCGGCTCCTCCCCAGGACCTACCAGCGCATCTGGGACTCGGCCCACGCCAGCCTGCAGGGGGCGCTGGAGCAGGAGCAGCCCCTGCTGCAGCCCGTGCCCGAGGGCCAGCGCCAGGCCCTGCTGCACCGGCTCTCGTCGCTCTACCTGGTGTACCTGGGGCTGCTGCGCCGCTTCGACACGCTCTACGACCAGATGCTGCACCCGCAGAAGCGGCGGCTGCTGCGGCGGCTGCTGGACGGCGTGGCCGGCCGCGTGCTGGAGCTCAAGGACGAGATGGTGCGCGTGGACCTGAGCGAGACGCACTGCCTGGACCGGGAGCTGCAGGAGCAGGGGCTCACCCCGGTGCGCGCGAGACCCGACGGCAGCCCAAGGGGAGCTTGGCCCCACCGGGGGCTGCGGGTTGGCCCGCCCTGGCTTCTTCCGCCGGCCTTGGGACGGCGGGAGAGGAAGGGGAGAGACGGACGAAAGGGTGCGCTGGGGGCCAGAGCGACAGCACAGCCGGGAGGGCGCTTGCCTTGCACCCAGCCGACGCGGGTTCGATTCCCAGCATCCCATCGGGTCCCCCGAGCACCATCGAAGTTAATTCCTGAGCACAGGCCAGGAGGAACCCCTGAGCATCGCCGGGTGAGACCCAGAAGAAAAAAAAAGATGCTCTGGACATCTACGGGTTCGGGCACCCCGCCTCAATAGGTCCCCGGGGCTCAGCCAGGGGTTGGTCCTGAGCCCAGCGTTGGGAATAGCCCCTGAGTACCGTGGGGGTGGCCAGGAGCAAAACAATTTTGCTGGTACAGTGGGGAGGGGGGTGCTTGTACACACAGCCAACTGGGCTTGGTTTCAAGCCCCCCGGAGGGTCCCTGACTGCCAGGAGAGCACAGAGGCAGGAGTAACCCCTGAGCACCATCGATGTGCCCTTCTTTTCTTTTTTTGTATTTTTGGGTCACGCTCGGCGATGCTCAGGGGTTCCTCCTGGGCTCTGCACTCAGGAATTACCCCCGATGGTACTCAGGGGACCATATGGGATACTGGGAATTGAACCCGGGTCGGCCGCCTGCAAGGCAAACTCCTCCCCTGCTGTGCTATCGCTCCAGCCCCTCAATGTGCCCCTCCGACACCCTCCAAAGGGTAGGCTTGGCTTCCTAACGAAGGATCTGAGGCATGAGGTGGAAAGTGCATGGCAAGTCCAGCTGCTCTGGCCATGGAAATAGCAGGAGGGTCCCTGGCAGCTCGGGTGGAGCCAGGGCTACCGTGCAAGTCCCAGACCCCGCCCGCGTGCCAGGCCTGTGTGACCTGTGCGCCCACAAAGTGAAGAGCACGGGGCCCTGCCGCTATACAGTGGCCGTCCTCGGTGGGCTGAGGGAAGCGTCCCCCCTCTCCAGGACTTTCCCGCCCCAGACTCAGCCAGGGTCCGTGTTCGCTGAATTGCGGTCATCATCAACCGGAAAATCCGACTTTGTTTTGGGTTTGTTTGCTTCTGTTTTGGGGCCACGCGCCGCAATGCTCGGGAATCACTCCTGGCGGTGCTCGGGGGACCCTACGGGATGCAGGGATGGAACCCGGGTTGGTTGGCCTTCCCCGCGCTGCTACTGCTCTGGGTCCAGACAACCCGACTCTGGTTCCTGACGCTGGTCTACCCGCCCCGGCCCAAAGGCAGACCTGGAGGTTCCCATCCCCAAATACTTCCTCCGGGAGCAGCCGAAGGCGGCGAAGGAGCGGGCCAGCTTGCTGGCAGAGATCCTGGCCATGTCGAGGCCCTCGGGGCTCGTGGAGGTACGTGTGGGGGTTAGGGACCCCGCGGCACTGAGGGTGCCTTCACACGGTACCTCTGGGCGTCCGGCCTGTCCCTCCTCTTGCATGTTTAGGCCCCTTCTAATGTCAGAGTGGAGCCACGCAGCCCGGGCCCCCAGCGTGCCCTGTGGGGGTGACAGCAGCTGCCCCCAGCTTGTCACCGCTCCCTCGTCTCCCCCACTCCTTCCCCGCCGTGCTCCATCCAGAGCGACATCATCATAAGTCGGACAGAGGCCATAATCATAATCCAAATGACCGAGCGAGCCAGGCAAGGCCAACTTCGAGCGACCTTCATGCGGGAGCTCCAGGAAGAGGCGGAGCGGGAGCGCAAGGTGCAGAAGGGGCCCAAACTCACTCTGGAGGCTGCAGCCATCAAGATACAGAAGGTAGCCACCCCCCACCCCACACACACGCAGGTGGAGAGGCAGGCAGGGGTCACCTCCTCCAGGAAGCCTGCCAGCAGGCAGAGAATTGACTATAAACAAGGTGTGGGGTGCTTAGCGTGCCCAATAGCTAGATCCTAAACTAGGAACCTGGATCAGTCGAAAAAGCACCTCTCTGGGGCTGGAGCGATAGCACAGCAGGTAGGGCGTTTGCCTTGCATGCGGCCGGCCCGGGTTCGATTCCCAGCACCCCATAGGGTCCCCTGAGCACCACCAGGAGTGATTCCTGAGTGCAGCGTCAGGAGTAACCCCTGAGCAACGCCGGGTGTGACCCAAAAAGAAAAAAAAAAAGCACCTATCGGGGCCAGAGCGCTAGAACGCTGCCTTGAATGCCACCGGTCAGATTGGGTTTGACCCCCAGCACCCATATGGCCCCCAGCCTGAGTGCCCTACCCACTGTTGCTCTCTCTCCAGCCCCCCTCATAGGGGCCCCCAAGTCCCGCCAGAAGTCATCCCTGAGCACTGAGCCAGCAGTAAGCCCTGAGCACCGCCAGGTGTGGTGGCAAAACCGTAACCATACAGACAAGATCACAGTTGCGGCCACAGAGCAAAGAGAGGGGAAAGGCGGTTACCTGATGCCCAGGTGACCCTGCCTCATCCCTGCACGGAGGGTCCCGAGCACCTGGGCGTCACTTCTGAGCACAGAGCCAGGACTAGCCTCTAAGAGTTTCAGCTTTGCCCCAAACCTCCACCCCGAACACACTAAATAAAATCTCGGTACAAAGAGTGGCGGGTAGACTCTTGGCAGAGGCCCGGGGGGAAGAGACAGGCCAGTGACCGCTGATAACTGAGGGGCACTGAGTGACCTCGGCCCAGGGCCTGGCCTGTCCCTGGCCTCCCTGACCGGATGCCCTGGGGATGCCTGGGGTCTCTGGCCTGCTCCCTACCTGCCCCCCCCCCCCCGTGCTGCTTATGCAGGTCCCTGCAGCCCGGAGCTCTGCTGATGAGGCTGGGGAGGCCGGGGGTCCCGGGGGTCCCTCTTCTTGCTCCTGTGTCACTGTCACCCGAGGCCCCCGGCCCAGCCCTGCCTTGACACGGGAAGTCTCTTGCCGTGTTCTGTTCCAGAAACAGCCCTGGCGCTGCACAGACAGCTGGATCCTTCTCGAACGGGGGCTCCTGGCCCAGGCCCAGCGTCTCTCGAGTGCCCACCCTAGCCCGGTAGCAGGGACTTAGAAGCCCCCAAGGCCCCCCAAAGGGGGGAGAAGCCAAGACTGAGAAGCTCGGTTCTCTCCGAGTGGGGCTGAGCGCAGCGAGGGGGACACAGCCCAGCAGCCCACTCTGGGTCCCTGCATTGGGGTGAGGGCCCGAAGCCTGGGAGAAGGGTCGGCTGGGAATGCCAGCTACACCCTCCCGCCTCTGCCAGAGCCCACAAACCTTCAGTCCCTACTGCCAGTCTGCAGAAGCAGAGAAATGCTGTCTGCAGCACCAGGAGTCAGCTCGGTGCGGGGGAGGGGGGGAGCTGGGGTCCGGCTCACGTGCAGGAGTCTTGGGGGGGCTCCACATCCTGGAGCACAAGGTCAGGGTAGCCCCCAAGCGTCTCCATCTGTGACCCAGGCCCATGAGCTCCAAGTTCTGAGGCTTTCCCTATGGTGGGGGGGAGGGGCGGCAGAACCCCCCTCCCCCATGCCTGCACCGCGGCTGGTGGTCCACCCTGGGCTGGGGGTGCGGCACCCACAGAGACGTCCAGCTGGTTTCGCTCAACGAGGACAGGGTCTGGGCCTCAGTTTCCTCTCATAACTATCGGAGACTCAGGGAAGCCCTCCAGGGCTGCATCCGCATGTCTGGGCGGAATCAAGTGTTTCTTCTGGGGTCTGTGGGGCCTGAGAGCTCACGGGGGTGTCTTGGGGAAGACTGCGAGAGGGTGGGCGTGGGAATTTGGGGGTGGCAGTCTCCAAGGACCCGTTCCCCCTGCCACAGTCCCGTGCAGACTGAGCCCCCCAGTGTGGGGAGTGGGCAGGCGGGTGCAGTCCCCAGAACCCTTCAGTCCTCTGCCACTGCCCCCGCCTTGGGGTGAAGGTCTTGGAGTTGGGAGCTGTGCTTGTTCAGAGGTCCCTGAAGCTGCTTCGCCCCCCTGGCTGGACCTCCGGGAGGGAGAGAGGGGCTCTTCTTGGGGTTCAGCCATGCCCGCGCCCAGCGGCCTGCCCTTGCCCCCAGGTCTGGAAGGGGTACCTGAAGAGGAAGGAGATCCTTCTGGACAAGCAGGCGGAGATGGAGCTCATCGGCATGGTGAGCGGGGACCCCCCAGCTGGTCCCCACAGCCCCCCCTTCCCTCTGAGTCTGTACTAGGATGGCGGGGACGCCACGGGTACCATAAGCAGCGCCTGGACACGCAGCCTGGGGGGTGGCATGTCCAAGGACCCGTTCCCCCCACCGTCCTGTGCAGACTGAGCCCCCCGGCGTGGGGAAAGAGTGGGCCGGCGGGTGCAGCCCCCAGGACCCTCCTGTTCTCTGCCACCGCCCCTGCCTTGGGGTGAAGGTCTTGCCCCCCGGGAATGTGTGAGGCCTGGCTGACGCGGGGTGGGGGTCGGGGATCGGGTGGCGAGGTGGGGGTGGGGGGTGTGGAGGGATGACAGGAGACAGAGCTGCAGTGGGGTCCCCAGGGGGCGGCAGGGGACTTCCAGTGGGGGTGGGGCTTGGGGGTGCCGGAGGAGGAGAGAGGCCCCCCGGGAGGTGGGAGCCGGCCGGGGCGGGGGGCCGAGGCCCGCGGAGGGTGAGGGATGAGCGTGGCCGCCCGGGCCCATCACCAGTGTGAGCTCAGCGTTTTCAGTAATTGTCTCTGCGCAGGGTGATATTTAAAATACATTTGGGAGCCAATGAGGCGGGAAAGTGGCTCGGCAGCGGCTGCCAAGGCGGGCGGTGGGGGTGGGGCCGGGCCGGAGGCTGGCGGGGCCGCGGGGCCGCCCGGATGCGCGGAGCAAACTCATTACGGGCGTAATTTACACCACACGGGCGCTTGGGCTCCCAACCCGCTCCTCCCGCGCGGGGAAGAAGGCCGGGCAGCAGCCACGGGACCGCGGGCCTCGGCGGGGTGGGCGGCCACGGGACTGCGGCGGGCGGGCGGGCCGGGCCCTCAGCCCTCGCCTCTGCCCCAGACCCACCCAACCGCCCAGAAAGTCCTGACCCAAAACCTGGGCATCATGAGCAAGGCCCGGAAGCGGAAGAGCCTCCGGAGGAGCCGGCAGGCCGAGAAGGAGGAGGAGCTCCACCGGGCCCAGGCCAAGGCCTACGAGAGCCTCCGGAAGATCGAGGGGCCCGAGATCAAGGAGAAGCTGAGCCTGCAGATCCGACAGTGGTTTATCGAGTGCCAGTTAGTGTCCCAGCGTCACCCACCCCCGGTCCTGCCGACACCCTTGGCCCGGCCTACAGGGCCATCCCTATGTCCTCCGTGGAAAATGCCAGAACAAGACGGGAAAAGAACGGAGACCGCCCAGGGAATCTCTGTTCTTCTGATTCATGACCACCAGTTCCTTCTCCCTCTCCCCCTCCGTCCCTGGTGCTTTGTCTTTCTTCATCCTTCTCTTCAGCTCCCCACCGCCCCTCTCCCCACCTGCTGTCCCCCCCCCCCCCACCACCTGTCCATCCATCTGCTCACCCATCTGCTCGCTCTTCTGTGCACCTGGTCATCTGTACCCACCCACCTCTACAAACACACATCCGTAAGTCTACCCATCTGTCAGGCCACTCCTCAGCCCTCCATCCACCCACCCATCCTTTTCCTCTTCCATCTGTCCATCTGCCCACCCTTCATCCATTCATCATCCATCTATTCATCGTTCCACCCAACATGCACCCATCCACCTGCCCACCTACACCCCAGCACGTCTGTCCACCGTCCGTGTGTCCAGTTGTCCATCCACCCACCCCCAACCATCCATCCACCATCCATGTGTCCAACTGTCCATCCTTCCACCCCTCACCTGCCCTTGCATCCATCATCCATCAGTCCATCGTCTCACCTGTCCACCCATTCGTTTGTCCGTCATCCACCTACCCGCCTGTTCATCCATCCGGCCGCTCGGCCAGTCAGCCATTCATTTGTCCATCCATGCATCCGTCCGCCCACCAGCCCACTCCTCTCTGCCTGACCTTCTCTTGCTCCCTTAGTGCCCTCACTGGCCAGTTCCCTCATTATCCAGACGAGTCCTTGGGCGGATCCAGCCTGATCTTTGCGAACAAGACTCCCGAGCAGGTACAGCTGACGCGGGGCCCAGAGCGTGTGTGGTCAGGAAGTAGGAGGTGGGTGAGAACTGACCGGGGGTGGCAGTGGTGGGCCACAGGTCACCCAGGATAGAGGCATGTCGTTAGCGTGTGAAGGAGGGTCCCTGTTTCGGACCAGGCGTCCCCAGCAGAGAATGTGTCTGGCGAGACTGTTGTGGCCTCCAACCGCTGGGGGCAGGAGAGCCTCTGTCCACCCTGCCCCTCCCCTCCTTTCTTCCTGGACCCCCAAGGGGTTTCTGGGCCCCAGACCCTGTGTCCACCGGCGACTCTCACTCGGCTCCTGCCTTTCCACCATGGTTTCTTGTCTGCGCACAGGTGAAGAAGGAGCTCGATCTGGCTCAGGACACCAAAAAAAGGGAGCAAAGGAAAAACACGAAAGAGGAAAGAGAGAGAGAGCAGCCGAAGAGAGAGAGGAAGAACAAAGGGGTAAGGCTCCCTGGAGCAGCCAGGGACAGGAGCGAGTCAGGAGAGCGGGTTTGGGGAGCGCCGGGCACAGAGCCGGCTCCGGATGAGGCCAGGGTCACAGCGAGGGTGTCCCCATCCCAGGGCACAGAGGACATGCTGACGGTCCAGCAATCCAAGTCCATCCCCACCATCAACAGCGGCCACCAGGAGTACATCGGTGAGGGGCACGGGGAGGGCTCCTGGCCAGGGTGGCGTTGCGAGGGGGGCCTTGGTCCCGGGGAAGGTGGGTGATGTGGGTACGTGTGGGGGCCAGGGGAGGACCCGCCCGAGGAGGGAACCGGGCATGGGGGGTGATTTCCGGGGTGGGGTCTGAGGGTGCAGCTCTGTCCGGGCAGAGGCAGGGCCAGACAGCGGGGCACGATGTACGTGTGGGTCATGCAGCCACCATGGCTGGTCGGGAGGGAGGGGTGGGGACAGAGAGTAGGGACTGAGAGGCCGTTTTCCCATGCGCGTGTACATGCGTGTGTGTATGCGTGTGTGCATGTGTGTATGTGTTCACATGTGTGTGCTTACGTGCATGTATGTGTGTTTATGTCCATGTGTGTTTACATGCATGTGTGTTTACATGTATGTGTGTACATGCGTGTGCGTGTGCTTACGTGCATGTGTGTGTTTATGTGCATGTGTGTGTTTATGTGTGTGTATGTGTTTATGTGCATGTGTGTACACACACGTGTGTGTGTGTGTGTGTGTGTGTGAGCCCACGAGAACACACGAGCTGCGCCCCCACCCGATGGCTCACCCGTGCACGTGCCGAGGTCAGAAGTGTGGAAGAACCGCTTGGAGGGCGCGTACCCCAGCCAGACCTTTGACAGCGAGGCGCTGCAGATGATGAAGAGGAAGGACTTGGAGTCGGATATCCGAGTGCAGGTGTGCTGTATGTGCGGGCCACTCAGGCCGTGTAGGGTCCTCCCTCTGGCCTCCCGCGCACGGACATCCGGTCTCATCCTGATGTGACAGCCACCTCCCTTGGCTTCCCCAGGGGCCTCTGTCCCCTGCTGCGGCCCCTGCTCTGGGGAGGGGGCCGAGGGGGCCCCAGCTGGGGTGGCGGCCACAGCCCCTGTCCAGCGGCTCAGGGCCCTGCAGTGTCCACCCGGGGCCTCCCGCCCCAGTGCTGCCCACAGGAACTGAGGCCCCGAGGGCATGCCCAAACCCATGGTCACCCTGTGCTTAAAGAGTGGGGTTGAGGGCCCAGAGATATAGTATTGGGGTCAGAGCACTTGCCTGGCAGAAGGGACACCTGAGCACAGGGTCGGGGGCAGCCCTTGGGTCCTGGGTGTGACCCCAAGCCCCTCTGCTCGAGAAAGTGGAGGGCCATAGAGTTTGTCCGGCGGGGGGGTGCTTGCCTTGCATGTGGCTAGCCGGGGCTAGGTCCCCAGCACTGCCTGGGGTCTTCCTAAGCCCCCTTAGGGGTCAGCCCTGAGCACAGAGCCAGGAGTCAGCCCTGAGCACCCCCCACATGCAGTGTAACTGGGGCTCTCACCGGGGGCCACCCCACTGGGGTGCAGGGCGGGGCTCAGCAGAGCCCCCCAAAGTGTGGAAGGAAGTCGCCTGCTCTTCTCAGGGGACCCCAGCTCTGTGCCCCCTGTGGCCGCAGGTGGACGAGCTCATGCGTCAGGAGCTGAAGAGCCTCCAGCTGGCCGTAGACCGGGAGCGAAGACCCTTGAAGCTAGCGAAGAAGGTGAGACGCAGGGCGGGGCCGGGGGCCGGGGCCGGGGCCGCCTCATGGGCACCTTTTTCCTACCAGAAGACGCCAAAGGCGACAAAGAAGAGGAAGGAGAAAGACCTGACCGCCGACAGGTACCTCGGGTGCACGGTGCCCAGGGACAGTCCCTCATGTATCTGGATTCCTGCCCACCCATATGCAATGGGAGGGCAGAGACGACCCCTTAGAAGCCCGAGTGCTCACGGCCCGGCACCACATAGGCATCTCCGGGGGCAAGATAGGCTCCATCCTAAAGTAAAAAAAAAAAAAAAAAAACACCAAAAAACGTGTTTTGAGAAAAGCAGGTGGGGTATGTCCCGGATCCGTCCTTCTGTCTCTGTCTCTCCTTCCAGCCTTTCCCTCCCTCCGGGCCATCGCCCTTGGACTGGCCACTGGGTCCCCGGGGAGTCAGCAGGGCCCCCTCTTCTCACTGCCCTGGCACGGGGAGGCCACGAGCCTGGTGGCGCCGGCATCTCAAGCCCCATGCCGGCACGTCCCCTCTGTGGCTTGCCTTGGTTGTCGCCCCGTCTTCTAGGACTCAAGTCCCCTTGCAAAGGGTGATCTCAGGGTCACGTGGGCTTCCCTGTGGCGCCTTGTGCTTTGCTGCGGCATCCTTTCATGCTGGTGGCACTTTGGCCCCGTGGAGCAAGTGCCTGTTTCTCCAAGAAGCTCTGTCGCTCCCTTTCCTCTCCCATTGGTCACTCCTGGGCAGTTGCAGGTACCACAGCAGCAGGGCCCAAACTGGCACTCATGCTCACGCTCTCAGACTCACCCTTGCAAGGCGGCAGCCTCCCCCGGGGCCAGCCCAGCCCAGCCCAGCCTGGGGCAGGAGAGCCCCTCACCCCGCTCATCCCCCTCATCCCTCCCCCACCCCCACCCCCTCTCTGCTCTCCTGCGCCAGGAGTCTGGAGTCGCTGTTTGAAGAGCTCGTCATCCTGGGATTCCTCACCCAGAGCCAGACCGTGGCCCTGAAGGATTACATTGGTGAGGCCCGGAGACCCCCGCTGCACCCCCAGGGCCCCCTCGACTGTGAACACTCTCTCCGGGTGCTCTCCTGCTGGGCCACGCCGGCAGGGCCACTCACCGGGGCCCACGTGTGCCCGCAGGTGACTGTATCTACGTGGGCTCTTCTCTGAGTCTGGCCAACAAGCTGCCCACGCCGTCCCTGTTTGACATCCGCCAGAACATGGCTCTGTATGCAGTGCTCCGGCTCGGTGAGACGTCTCAGCAGCAGTGGACAGAGAGGGCGGCTGAGGCCGGCTCCTCTGATCCCCGGCTCCAGGGAACTGCATGGGACCCCCGCTGCCCTGCCGGAGGTCCCAGGCCACTGACATCATCCCCGAAGCCGTGGGCTCCCTTCCAAACCCTCCCCAGTCCCCAGGGGCCCTTTATCCCTTGGACTCCCATCCCCACCCCTGGATATGGAGTCCAGGAACTTTCTAGAACAGCCAGCCCTGCCCCCCCTTGAGTCCCACCCTCCATAAGTGGGAACCGGTGTGAGGCGGGTGACCCCACAGGGCATTGCAAGAGGGGATGCTCCTGACCCCCAAGTAGCTGCTGGTCACTGATGGCCGAGTCCTCTGAGCTGCCCTGGGGATGGCCCCGACATCTGCCCCCCCTCTACCCCGAGGTCCCCAAGCCCTGCTGGCTGCCACCCGCCTCTGCTCCATTTTCCCAGGCTCCCCGGATATCCACGCCTTGGCCCCCCACATCCGCTCCATCCTGCTGGTGGGCCCGGCTGGCATGGGCAAGAAGATGCTTGTCAGGGCCGTGTGCACGGAAACAGGGGCCAATCTGTTCGACCTGTCGCCCCAGAACTTCGAGAACAAGTACACGGACAGGGCCGGGGCACAGATGCTTGTGCACATGGTCTTCAAGGTCTGCCCACCGCCCGGGAGTGCGTCCTCGCCCGCAGTGGGGGGGGGGACCTGAGATCGGGGAGTGAGGGGAGAGGAAGGGGTGGAGGTGAGCCCTGAGCACAGCCAGCACCCCACAGGGGTCCCCTGAGCACCTCCAGGAGTGATCCCTGAGTTTGAGCCGGGAGTCAGCCCCGAGCACCGCTGGGTGCGGGTCCCCCCAGACAGAGAGAGACGCAACCCTGGTCAGAGGCCGGGCGCTCCCCAGTCGGGCGGAGGTGGCCGCTGGGAGGAGGGCCGACGAGGAGGTGCGGCTCTGACCTGCGCAGGTGGCCCGGCTCCTCCAGCCCTCGGTGATCTGGATCGGCAACGCGGAGAAGAACTTCCATAAGCGTGTCTCTAAGGAGGAGAAGCAGGTGGGAGGGCTTGGGGAGGCGGGGGAGGGGCCTGGGAGGCGAGGACAGTGGCTGAGAGGAGATGAGGGGCTGGAGTGAGAGCACAGCGGGGAGGGCATTGGCCTTGCACGCGGCCAACCCGGGTTCGATTCCCAGCATCCCATAGAGTCCCAAAAGCACCACCAGGAGTAATTCCTGAGTGCAGAGCCAGGAGTCAGCCCTGAGCATCTCCGGGTGTGACCCAAAAAGCCAAACAAAAAAAAAAAAAAAAAGAGAGAGAGGTCGATGAAATGCAGCTGTGCGTGGGAACACGGAGCAGGCTGGCTGGGACGTGCAGCGGGGCAGGGCCGGAGGGAGAAGTTGGCCGGGGCCACGCCGGGGCCGCACCCAGGGCTCCTGCCACACAGAGCCTGGGCTCCGGCTCTGTGCCTCTGCCAGCTCAGGCTTGGCCGCCGCTGGGTGGCTGGACGTGATCCCCCCAACCCCCGCCCCCCGGGTCCCTGCCTGGCCCCACGTCTCCAGGCAGAAGCCCCGGGCCAGTCTGTCGCAGTGGCCCCTCCCCAGCGCAGATGGACCTGAAGCAGATCAAGAGGGACCTGACCAAGGCCGTGAGCCTGCTGAGCCCCAGGGACCGCGTGATGCTCATCGGGACCACGGAGCAGCCGCAGGCGGCGGATCTGAAGGGGCTGTGCCGCGTGTACCAGCGCATTCTGTACCTCCCGCGCCCCGACTACGCGTCCCGCTACGGTGAGCCCCGCGGAAGGCCACCCCCGTCTCGGAGGGCTGCCGGACACAGCCCCGGGCTAGGCCAGGACCTGGCGTGGTGGACACGGATGTCCCTTGGCCACTGAGGCTGCCCCTTCCCTGCGGCTCCCGGGGGCCTGTGCTGCTCTGCCCACAGTGCTCTGGAAGCAGATGGTGGAGGCCAAGGTCCTCCCGAACTTGAGCCTGGACTTCAGCTCCCTGGCCAAGGTGTCCGACGGCTACACCAGCGGCGCCATCGTCCAGAGCATCCAGGCAGTGCTGACGGACAGACGTCTCCTGCACATGAGCCTGCAGCCGCTGGTGGCCTCCGAGTTCATGGGGCAGCTGGCCAAGAGGGACCCCGTGTACATTGAGGAGGAGGAGGCCATGAAGGTGAGGCTTGGGGGGGTTAGCGGCACCCCCGGGGGGACCCCTCCCCGCAGGCAAACCCCAGGGTTGCGGGATCCTCAGGGGCACAGAGTCTCATGCCTGAGCAGGGGATGCCCAGGAGAGGGTGAGGCTGTGAGAGTGGACGTGGCAGGGGAGACGGGGGGGGGGGGGCTCACGACCTGCGCCCCTCCCAGGACTGGTACTTCAAGACCCCCCTGGGCAAACTGAGGCTGAAGATGCTGGAGGACCTGCAGGCTGCCAATGAGGAGGCCAGTCAGGGGAAAAAGAGGAGGAAGAAGAAGTGAAGGCCGAGAGGGACAGTCGCGGGCGGTGGGCGCTGCACCCCACCGGGCATAAACCTGTGACTCATGACCTGCTTTCTTGGCCTGGGTCTGCGGGGCTCGGCGAAGCCCATCCCCATGGGGCTGCTGCCAGGGCCGGTGGGGGTGGGCTGGGGGGCCACGCTGCTGCCCCCGGCCCCCGGGGGAGCCCCAGTGCGCTGGTCACTTCTCAGTGACGGAGACCCCGGCCTCTCTCCAGCCAGACCCGACAGCCAAGGCAGGACCAGGTGTTATGGGGGCCATGCTGGTCAGCACTCGGGTGGACACGAGGGTCGGCACTGAGGATGGAGATGGGGGTCAGCACTCGGGTGGACATGGGAGTCAGCACTGAGGATGGAGATGGGGGTCAGCACCGAGGGTGGACTTGGGGGTCAGCCCTGAGGGTGGCCATGGGGGTCATCCCTGAAGGTGGACATGGGGGTCTGCACCGACGGTGGACATGGGGGTCAGCACCGATGGTGGACATGGGGGTCAGCCCTGAGGGTGGTCATGGGGGTCAGTACTGAGGGTGGCCATGGGGGTCAGCCCTGAGGGTGGACATGGGGGTCAGCCCTGAGGATGGACATGGGGGTCAGCCCTGAGGGTGGACATGGGGATCAGCATCAAGGGTGAGCCTGGGATCCGCACCCAGTGTGGATTTGGGGTTCTGCGTCTGTAGTGGGCTTTGAGCTCAGCATGTAGGGTGTGTTACAGGGGCAGCGACTGACGTGGGGTGGGCACCAAGGATGTAGGGGTGTCTTTCCTCGGTGTGTCCCCTGCTCTTCTGTGTGTCCTAGAGGGGCCTCCCTCGGCTTGGAGGGGCAGGTGTCGGGGAAATACATACTCCCTGAACCCCTCCCTCTGGGTCAGTTCTGCACAGATGGACATTCGGGCCCTTGGCCCTGGAGCCCCCTGGGGGGGGGAGGGCAGGGGGCCTTGTTTGGGGCAAGACACACCCAAAAGTCCTGGGGCACAGTCCTCAGGACCTTGTGGTGCTGGGGAACCCAGAGCAGGGGGGGGGCTCCCTCTAAGCCCTGTGTGGAGGATGAGGGAAGATGAGGCCAGCGGGCGGGGCCGGCCGCTCTTGCAGCCAGGACACTATTTATGGTGCTGCCAAGGCAGAGTCCTGCTCCTCCCACACGCTGCCCTGGCCGCGGGCCCAGCTCCCTGCCGGGGGCCCGGGGCCTCACTCCCTCCGGCCGCTCTGCTCTCTCTCCCGGACACGCCATGCGGGGCCACCACCGTGGGGCCCGTCCCCTCCGGCCGCCCCCGGCGGGGGGCCTCCCCTCCCCCCGGGGGCCGCCCCCGCTGCCGTGCGGGGACATGGCACTGCAGAACGCCCTGTACACGGGCGACCTGGCCAGGCTGCGGGAGCTTTTCCCCCCCCACAGCACCGCCCACCTGCTGCTGCAGAGCCGGGCCGCGGAGCCCCGCTGGGACAGCGCCCAGAGGGGTGAGGGCCGGGCAGTGGGGGCTTGGGGGGGGGCTGCTTGGGGAAGGAGAAGAGTGGGCCGCTCTCCCAACGCTGGGGCCGCCCAGCCCTGACCCAGGGAAGAAGTCACGTGGCGCCCAGAATAACTTCCGCTGGACGCCGGGCGGACAGACACTGGACACTGCCCTGCCCCGGCGTCCGTGCGGGCCCCTCCCCCACCCCCTTCCTTGGGCTGCCCCTCTGCCCTCATGAGCCGCACCCCAGGAGACTGCGGGGTGCAGGGGGAGGCCCGGGGAGACGGGCACCCACTCTGTGCCCGGCTGGTGGAGCGGTCCCCCAGAGAGCCCGAGGCGGGGCCCAATCCCGGCCAGGGCCCCATCGTCACATGCACGGCCTCGGGGCCGGCTCTGGCCTTCTGGCAGGCCGTGCTGGCGGGGGATGCGGGCTCCGTCTCCCGCATCCTCTCCTCGGGCGCGGGCCTGGCCCCGGACTCCGTCTTTGACACCAGCGACCCGGACCGATGGAGGGACTTTCGCTTCAACATCCGCGCTCTGAGTACGGGCGGGTGGGTGCGTGGTGCGTGGAGGGGCCTGGGCCGAGCTGGGGCGTCTTCCTGCTCCCTGGAAGTCTCAGCCTCCCGTCCCTCCCCCACCTAGGACTCTGGTCCCTGACCTACGAGGAGGAGCTGACCACGCCGCTGCACGTGGCCGCCGGCCGGGGCCACACGGAGGTGCTACAGCTGCTGCTGAGGAGGCGGGCACAGCCGGACTGTGCGCCGGGGGGCCACACGGCCCTGCATGAGGCCTGTGCCGCCGGCCACGCCCCCTGTGTCCACGCACTGCTGATGGCGGGGGCGGACCCCAACCTCCCTGACCAGGACGGGAGACGGCCCTTGCACCTGTGCCGGGGGGCTGGCACCGTGGAGTAAGTAGCACCCCACCCCATCCCACTCCGGGGGAGCAGCAGGGAGGGGTCTGAGGCTGGGTCTCAAGCCGGCAGGTCTGATGTCCTGCAGGGCAGGAACTCTGACATGAAGATGTTCAGAGACTGGGCGCCACTAACCAAGCCCACAAAACGGGTGGCGAGAGCCTCACGGGACAGTCTGTTCAGAGTGGGACTACTCCTTTGCTGTGACTCAAGTTATTATGTCCCATAGGTAAGGAACTTTGGGGAATGACACTTGTCTTTTTCTCGCAGCAGGGTGCCACACCCAGGGATGCTCAGGGCGGCTTACTCCTGGCTCTGGCACTCAGGAATTACTCCTGGCGGTGCTCGGGGTTCCTATGGGATGTCAGGGATTGAACTCAGGTCAGCCGCGTGCAAGGCAAGCGCCCTGCCTTGCTGCACTGTCTCTCTGGTCCATGGGGATGACAGTTTTCTAGTGAGCTTGGAATCTGGGTTCATGGAGCCCCCACGCGCCTGAAGGAACTGACCGCACCGTGATGTCTCTCTCTGCAGAGTCCCCTCACCGTGCCTGGTGCGTGGTCCTGGCCTCCCCTGTCCCACTCTCTCTCCTCAGCTGCCTCAGCCTCACAGGCTGACATCCATTGAATCAGATCACGGCTCAGGACGGTCCCAAAGAACATGATGTGAGGCTCAGAGGGCTGGTGTGAGGCAGAGGTCACAGTCTCTAGCTTCCCATCAAAACACAGAAACCGGGAGAGTTCCTTGTTCAGACTGCAGCAAAACATTCCAAACCAAAACCATGCACCGGGGGCTGGAGCAATAGCACAGCGGGTAGGGCGTTTGCCTTGCATGCGGCCAACCCGGGTTCGATTCCCAGCATCCCATAGGGTCCCCCAAGCACCGCCAGGGGTAATTTCTGAGTGCAGAGCCAGGAGTAACCCCTGTGCATTGCCAGGTGTGACATTCCCCCCCCCCCCCCCCCAGAAAAAAAGCAAAAAACAAAACCATGCATCCTGTTTCCTTTTCTCAGTGGGCAGCCAGCCACATTCAACCTCCCGAAGTAGAGGCGGGAGCGGGGGTCTGGGGGTGACACCCAGCAGTGCTTGGGGTTCACTGCCACCACCAGGGGACCATGTGGTGCTGGTACCAGACCACATCGGCTGCCGGCAGCGCAAGTGCCCTAACCCCTAAACTATCTCTCTTGTGCCCTGAACATTTTTTTTCATCTTACAAAGAAAACTTCATTGAACAGCTACCCCTCCCCCGCCCCCGTCCCAGGCCCTGCGCCCACCTTTTATTCTCTCGGTGACGCTGAAGACTCCGTGTACGTTCTTTTGTGAGGGTTTCTTTCTCTGGCACAATGTCCGTGGCGTCAGGGCATTGTGGCAGGTGTCAGCTCGCGCCTCCTCCCCCAGGAGGCCCGTCTCTTATTGTGCGTAGGGGTCACTCTGTGCCCGTCCACGCTTCTGTGGCTAGCTAGCTGTCCTCCAGCCACGGCGAGCGGGTGCCAGGGAGCTGGGAGCCCAACCAAGGCATTTAACATGCGCTCTCGCAAATGGGATTTCAACACGCCATCAATAAAAATTAAAAACAAAAAGAGAAAGTGCTATTCTCTGTTCTGGGTTGGCGCCAGGTCTTCAACATGGGCGTGTGCTGGACAGGTTTGACACGCCATGCCAAGCACACTGCTCATCAGAATCCCACGTCAGTTCTGGTGCATTCCAGTCTGGCTCCTGACCCCACGGCCAGAACTTCAGTCTCTAGAAAGGAGAGCAGGGTAGAACACGGACCCCACGACCACCCCAACCTCCCGCTTCTCTGCCAACGAGCACCAGGCTTTGGGTCAGCCGTTCTCCCTCCCCGCCCCACACGCGGGGACTCCAGAGGCCTCGCCCCCTGCTCAGGTGCCCCCTGCGGGCAGAGCCAACTGCCCACTCTAGCTTTCTCCTCCGTGCTCCCTTTGCCCCCGCCAGCTCCAATCCCCCGCTGCACCCCACCCCTGCTTCCAAGTCTGGCTGCGTGCGATGCTCCCCACTGAGGGGAGGAACCCCGGAAGCTGTAGGAAGAATCTCTCCCCTCCCCACACGGGGACCCAGGGTTGAGCCGGCCAGGCCTGGCCTGTGCTGTGGTGTGGGGCTTTGTTTGCAAAGGGGACTTGCCGTGCATCCTGGTGGTGGTGGTACTAACCATTCTAGACGCTTCTCAGGTATCCTATTGGCGGTGATGCTGACCATTCCAGAAGCTTCTCAGGCATCCTATTGGTGGTGTGCTAACCATTCCAGAAGCTTCTCAGGCATCCAATTGGTGGTGGTGCTAATCATTCCAGAAGCTTCTCAGGCATCCTATTGGCAGTGGTGCTAACCATTCCAGAAGTTTCTCAGGCATCCTATTGGTGGTGGTGCTAACCATTCCAGAAGCTTCTCAGGCATCCTATTGGCGGTGGTGCTAACCATTCCAGAAGCTTCTCAGGCATCCTATTGGTGGTGGTGCTAACCATTCCAGAAGTTTCTCAGGCATCCTATTGGCGGTGGTGCTAACCATTCTAGAAGCTTCTCAGGCATCCTATTGGTGGTGGTGCTAACCATTCCAGAAGCTTCTCAGGCATCCTATTGGCGGTGGTGCTAACCATTCCAGAAGCTTCTCAGGCATCCTATTGGTGGTGGTGCTAACCATTCCAGAAGCTTCTCAGGCATCCTATTGGCGGTGGTGCTAACCATTCCAGAAGCTTCTCAGGCATCCTATTGGTGGTGGTGCTAACCATTCCAGAAGTTTCTCAGGCATCCTATTGGCGGTGGTGCTAACCATTCTAGAAGCTTCTCAGGCATCCTATTGGCAGTGGTACTAACCATTCTAGAAGCTTTGGGGGTGGGGGTGTCTGCTTGCTTTTTCAGTTGCTTATCCGGAGCCTCCGTGGTGATACTCAGGGGCTGGGCTATTCCTGGCTCTGCGTCCATGAGTGACCGCTGGCAGTGCTCAGGGGACCATGTGTGGTGTCAGGGATCTGAACTAGGGTTACGGCTGCCACAGCTCATGTATCACACATGTTCTATCTCCTGTTTTTCTGGCCCTGAAAGCTGCTATTTCATTTCAGAGCAGAAAAGGAAGTTTCCACTATTTTGTTACGTTACCAGACATAAGGTCTGCCTAGCTGCTTTGTTTTGTTTTCCGGACCCACGTCACGTGGCATTCTAAGCTGAGTGCCCAGGGTTCAATCCCGGTGTAGTCAGGAGCCTATCCAGTGCCAAGGATCACACGTGGCCTTCGCATGCAGAGCGAGTGCTCCAGCCCTGCGAGCTAGCTCCTGGTCCAGGTCACAGCTTTTAGAAGCCTTTTTCTTTCCTGAAACCATAATGAGATGGACTTTCTGGCAGCATTTTCATAATGGTAGCTAGATATTTAATTCTGGGACACAAACGGAAAGGAGAGGAAAGGAGGGAGGAAGGAAGAGAGCGACAAGGGAGGGAGGAAAGAGGAGAGCGAGGGAGGGAGGAAGACATCGGAACGGGAGCACAGGAAGTCCGTGTCGGCAGTGTTCTTTTGGTGGATCTTGGTTTCTTTTAGAACCCAGCTCGGGGTGGTCAAGAATCACTCCTGCGGGACCCTGGGGGCTGTATTTGGTGCAGGGTGCTAGCCGGGGTGTGCGGTGTGCAAGGCCAGTGCCCTCTCCGCGGTGCTATTACTCCGGCCCCTGTAGGTGCTGTTTGAACTGGGTGATGCTGGTGGCCCGGCTCCCACCCGGGACACAGGGCACCGTCCTGCATTGGGAATGGTAAAGAGAACACTGTGGACCATTCTGGAGTGACCAGGCGCAGGCAGGCAGGAAGTGGAGGGGCAGACAGAGGCGGGGGTCTGCTTTGCGCAGTGGGCGGGAAGCGGGGGGGGGGGAATCCGCACCCCCACTCGCCTCTTCACCGCCGTCTCGCCCCGACAGGTGTGCGGAGATGCTCTTGAGGTTCGGCGCGAGTGTGGACGGCCGGTCGGAGGAGGAGGAGACCCCTTTGCACGTGGCTGCCCTCCTGGGCCACGTGGAGCTGGCGGAGCTGCTCCTGCGCCGGGGTGCCCGACCCGACGCCCGCGATGCCGAGGGCCGGACGCCGCTGCTGGCCGTGTGCGACGCCCGCTGGTCGGGCCCCGCCGAGGCCGAGGCCACCGTCAGCCGCTGCCTCCGGCTCTGCCAGCTGCTGCTCTCGGCGGGAGCCGACGCCGACGCCGCTGACCAGGACAAGCGGCGGCCCCTGCACCTGGCCTGTCGCCGGGGCCTCACGCCCGTGGTGGAGCTGCTCCTGTCACACGGCGTCAGCACCAACGCCATGGACTACGGCGGCCACACGGCCCTGCACTGTGCTCTGCAGGGGCCCCCTGCCGCCCTGGCCCAGAGCCCCGAGCGCACCGTGCGGGCCCTGCTCAACCACGGCGCCGTGCGGGTCTGGCCGGGGGCCCTCCCCAAGGTACAGCGGGGGCAGCGGGCGGGCACAGGGCCACTGCCGCCCCCGGTCACTCTTCAGGGGGAGGGGAGTTTGGGCCATACTGGGCAGGGCTCAGAGCTCACTTCTGGCAGGGCTCAGGGATGACTCCTGGCTCTGTGCTCAGGGATGACTCCTGGCCCTGTGCTCAGGGATGACTCTTGGCAGGCCTCAGGGATGACTCCTGGCCCTGTGCTCAGGGATCACTCCTGGCAGGGCTCAGGGATCACTCCTGTCAGTGCTCAGGGCTGATTCCTGGCCCTGTGCTCAGGGCTCACTCCTAGCCAGGCTCAGGGACCCTACATAGTGCCAGGAATAGGACCCGGGTCTGCTGCCGTCAGCCCTGCAGCTCAAGGCCCTTCTCTTTCCTGTAAGCAGAGTCCCCCGAGTCCCACAGCAGGAAGTGTGTGCGCATCCATGTGCGTGTTTTTCTCTGCACACACGGGAACAGGTTTCCATGCACATCTGAGCATGCAGGCACGCGTGCGTGTTCCTGCGTGATGGCGTGGGAGTGTGGGCAGGGGGTTGTATCATGTGTCTGAGAGATGGGAGCAGCCGGCTTCAACAAGGAAGCAAACAGCTGGCAGACGCTTTTAGCGGGACAGAGGTCCTTGCCTTGAACCCGGCCAACTGGGATTCAACTCCCAACTCCCGGGATCACACCCGGCAAGGAGGGACCACTGAGTGCAGAGCCAGGAGCCCACCCTGAGCATTGCTGGCCGTGGCTCCCAAGCAAACAAAACCCAGAAGCTTTTAGAAAACTTCACCCAGCCGCAGGGAGCCTGTCTCATAGAGACTCGGCTCAGGAGTGGGTCTCCCGGGGTCTCTTGGCCCACCGGCTTCCGGGCCTCCTGGCTACCTGCTGCCAGTCCTGGTTCTGGAGAGCTGAGCAGGACGTTCACCGCGGCCACTGTCCCAGCCCCAGGGACAGGCCTGTCCTGGTCAGTTCCCAGCCTCCGCCTTGTTGATGTCTATTCCCCGACAGACAGCCGTTTAACGTGACGCCTGTGCTGAGGCGTGTCTGGCCCATCCCAGGCCCGCCCTACCCACAGGGGGGGATGCAGTGTCGAGGCCTTCGAGGGGGGACCCCGGCTTCTGGAGTCGGGTGAGGAGGGGGAGTCTGTGCCCTCCCGACCTCCCGGCATCCTGCCGCAGTCCCGCCTCTCCTCACACGCGCCCACGAGCATCTGTCTAGATTCCTAAGCAAGACCAAATAATTAAACAGCCCGAGAGTTCAGCAGATTGGTCTCCCCTTTGGGAAAATACAAGAAAATCAACAATTAACACTAATTAATCTCCTATTAACACCAGATAATTAGGAGACGAGCAATTCCCTGTAATCTGACGGCGCCTCTGACAGCTAATGATTCCCAGTCCGTGAGGAGGTGTAGGAGGAGACAGAGACAGCACCAAATGGATTTCCCAGGCCCCTTGCGGATGCCCCCCAGCCCCACCCAGCCTCGGGAGCAGGTGGGCCAGCGCGGCCAGCCGGAGCTGGTCATCCCTGCGCCAGGCTGCCCGTGATAGGGAGGGGGCGCGCGGGAGGAGGGAGGGGCGCCGCCCCCTCTGCTGGCTCTGGGGCCTTGCTGGTCCTCACGGGAGGAAGCCGGTCCTCTAAGGACATGAGGACCACCCCGCCTGCAGGAGCCGCTGGCCCCTGGTCACTCAGGGGAGCCAGATCCTGGCTCTGGCTTTGGTGCTGGTCCGCCTCAGACCCCCGTTCCTGAGACAGCACCTGACTGAGGAGCTCTCGGGGCATGCTGGGTGATGGCATAAACCGGCACAGCCTTCCACACCCCAACACCCTCCTCGACATGCGCCCCCGCATCCAGGTCCCCTGTCCTTCCTCCCGATGACCCCGGTGGGCAGTGGCTCGGAGTGCAATATCCAGGGCTGAAGAGACAGTGCAGTGGGGAGGGCTCGGGGCTGGAGCCATAGCACAGCGGGGAGGGCGTTTGCTTTGCACGCGGCCACCCTGGGTTCGATTCCCAGCATCCCATAGGGTCCCCCAAGAATCGCCAGGAGTCATCCCTGAGTGCAGAGCCAGGAGTAGCCCCTGAGCATCTCTGGATGTGACCCAGAAAGAAAGGAGAAAAACAAACAAAAAAAAGAGTGGGAAGGGCACTTGTGTTGCGTGCGGCAGGACTGGGTTTATTCCCTGGACCTATATGGTCCCCCAAGCCCCCTGGGAGTGATCCCTGAGCACAGAGCCAGGAGGAAGCCCTGAGCACCACTCAGTATGACCCAAAAGCAAAACAAAAAGAATGAGGGTGAGAGAGCAATTGGGCAGCTGTTGGGCAGCTGCAGGAGTGGCCTGGGCAGGGCTGGGGGGACAGAGCCGCGGGAACGCCAGGGAATTGGGCGGTCCCCAAACATCACAGCACAGAAGCGGCTCTGGTGAGCACCGCCCAGGACAGAAGTAGGACAAGGTGCAGGGGGTCTTGGGGACAGGGACAGCTTTCTCCAGGGTGTCCTGAGTGGGCGGGTCCCCCTCCTTCTATCACCCAGAAGTGCCCAGCAGGGGGACACTCCCCACCTGCAAGGACAGTGGGGCAGTAGAAGGCCTGGGAAATGCTGTGCGTGGCCCTGACCCACGAGGAGAGGCTGATTGTCTCAGTTGGTGGGGGGAGGGGCACCGACAGTGCTCAGGGGTCACTCCCGACTGCTCTGGGGTTGGCCTCACCCAAGGGAAGCACCTGGACCCCCAAGGCAAGCACCTGGACTGGTTCTCGGGCTCCTGCCCTCAGCCCACGGGCAATGTTGGCCATATCCAGATATCCTTGTTTCCTGGTGGAACAGTTGAATGTGTGTGAGTCACATGTGATGTAGGTCACATGTGTGGGGTCACATGTGGGGTGGATCACATGTGTATATGCTGTATCTGGGTCACACGCAGTTGTCACAGGTGTGGGTTACATATATATGGGTCACATGTGTGTGGGTCACGCGATGTGGGTCACCTGTCTGTTGTCTGTTGGGGTCATGTGTGGATCACGTGTGTTTGGGTTGGATGTGGGTTGCAGGTGGGGGGGTGGCATGTGGTGTATGGGGGCCCACACTCGAGCTGCCTGGGAGTTGGAGCTGAGCTGCCCCCCGATTTGACGGCAGCCTGCGAACACCCTGGAGCTCGACAGACGCCAGGACGGAGGGGGCGTCTCTGGGCGCAAGATTCTGATCCCAGGTCAGAGGGGGCATCTCTGGGCGCGGGGTTCTGATCCCAGGGCACATCTTCCCGGGGTAGCTGCCCCGTCCCCCACCCCAGAGCTGGCCCTGGCTCTCAGGTTGTCTGTGGGTGCTGTTTGCTCTCTGGTGGGGACCCCCAGACTCCAGGGGCCTGACCATGCTCCTTACGTGCTCAGCCCACGGGAGGTCAGTCACGGGAGGTCGATGTGGAGGGATCAGGCCCCTGTCCGCAGCTTGCTGGCTGTCCCCTTCTCCCCACCCCACCCCCCTAGCTGGGTTCTCTTTACTGTCACATCCAGGCCAGCCTCTCTCAGCCTGCTGGGCCCCCCTGGACTCTGGCTCTCCTCCCTGCCCTTTGGGCAGCTGTCTGCACCCCACATTGGCCTTGGGCAGTGGTGATTAATCTGAGTTTCAACAAAGAGTCACCCCCCTGGACCCCCACAGTGCCCCCTCCGCCCAGGAAGGACAATGCAGTTGAGTTTTGCTGACACCCTGTACCCCTAGAGGAGGGACTGCCCCTGGGCTCGAGTTTGAATCGCCACATAGACTTGTTCCCTTGTGGTGCCTCAGTTTCCCTTGTCTATGAAATGGGGGAGAAGAACAGCCCAGCCCTGGCCTGGGGTGAGGAGAGTATGAATGCAGGACTGGGGAAAGAGCTCGCCAGTGGGAGCCCCAGATGTGCCCAAGAACCATGGTGGGAGGCAGGAGTGACCCCCTGCACCTTGGGGGGTGCCCCCCCCAAAAGGAAGAAAGCGTGAGTGCACGGAGAGCTGAGGAGAGCAGCAAGGGAGTGGCGGCCAGCAGTGGCAGCTGTTGCGCTGGGCGTCTGTCACGACCCTAACGGCCTGTGCTGAACTGGCCAGGAAGGTCCTTCCCCACTGACCCTTCCAGAGCCTGGAGCCTGGCGTGGCTGGGCTTGGCTCCTTCGCAGGCTCTGAGAAGCCGCCTGCTGTCCCCGCGCCCTTGGTGTATAGGTGTGTGCCTGACTGGGATCACACGCGGCATTTTATTATCAATGCAAGATCACAGTGCCTGGCCCCGCCCTTGCCCCCAAGGCAGGAGGGCTCGGACCCGCCCTGGGAACCTCACTTGATGGCACCTGCCTAGAGACTGCTCCCAGAGGCTCATCCCTGGGGAATGGGGACCAGGACTCCAACGTGCCTTTGGTGCGGGGCGGGGGCTCCTGACAACTGTCCCGTGACCGGATGCTCATCCTTCATGGGCTGCCGGATGTGGGTCTCCACGTGTCTCCTCCCCAGGTGCTGGAGCGCTGGTGCTCGTCCCCGCGGACCATCGAGGCCCTGATGAACACCTACAGTACCGTGCGGCTGCCCGAGGAGGCCAAGGGGCTGGTGCCCCCCGAAACACTGCAGGTCAGAGCTCCCTGCCAATCACTTGCTCACGGTACCCCAAGAGATTTCCCCCAAAGAGGTCCTCCCTCTCGGTCCCACGGAAATCACCCAGAGGGGGACTGGAGAGTCAGTGCCGAGGAAGGAGGGCACTAGCCTTGCATGCAGCCAACCCAGATTCAACCCCTTGAACCCCATCTGGGCCCCTGAGCCTGCCGGGAGTGAGCCTTTCGTGCAGAGCCAGGAGGAAACCCTGTGTGGCTGCAAACAAAAGCAAAACACAAAACAAACGTCCCAGAGTCCCACTCACGCCCCAGGAGAAACGCCAGAGCAAGAGCCGGGAACTGCTGAGCCGCCACCAACCTCCACCCCCGCAGGGTGCAGGTCGGGCCAGAGAGCGGCGGGCTCCTCCTTGGGTGCAGGTCGGCTGATGAGCCCCGCGCTCCTCCCGCAGGGCCCGGCTCAGGTTCGGGAGCCGAGCCGCGCGCTCCTCCTTGGGTGCAGGTCGGGCCTCCTCCGAGCCGCGCGCTCCTCCTTGGGTGCAGGTCGGGCCTCCTCCGAGCCGCGCGCTCCTCCCTGGATGCTGCGCGCTCCTCCCTCCCGCAGAGCCGGGCCCGGGTGCAGGTTCGGCCGCTGAGCCGCGCTCTCCTCCCGCAGCGGCACCGGCGGTTCTACAGCTCCCTCTTCGCGCTGGTGCGGCAGCCGCGCTCCCTGAAGCACCTGAGCCGCTGCGCCCTGCGCGCCCACCTGGCCGGCCGCCTGCCCTCGGCCCTGCCCCGCCTTCCGCTGCCGCCTCCCCTGCTCCGCTACCTGCAGCTGGACTTCGAGGATGTGCTGTACTAGGCGCGCACCGCGGGGACCCAGACTCCTGCCCCTCGCCGAGCGCCAACCCTCCGCCCGGATGTCTAAGGACTTGGGCCAGCCTGGAAGCACCCGGGCGGCGGCACGGTGCCACCCTGCGGCTCCCACGCCCGGCCCTGCGCTGCCCTTGGCCAGGGCGTCCCCCTGCGAGGGGCCTCTGCACTGTCAAGATGTGGATTCCCACCAGGTGCTGTCTCGTGAGGTGGAGCTGGGACTCTGGAAAAGGGGGCACCGGTCGGGGTCTCCCAAGACCCCCTCCAGCCCCTGCTGCATTAAAGCCTCCAGGCCTGAATTCCTTGGGGCTAGTTGCTCTGTGCTGCTCCCTTCGGGCACCGGGATGGGCTGACAGGCTCCCCCAGGTCTGCTCCGTGGGCCGCTGCATCACCTTCTCCTAGGGACACCCAACAAAGGGGAGACGCAAGGGGCAGCCGGCTCAGGTTGGACCCCCAGCACCAAGTCCGTGATGCCGAGGGTGGCCGGCCAGATTTCCCGGGACGCCGGGTGTGCACGCGCAGAAGTTCCTGCTTTCCCGCCAACTGCTGGGCGCCAGCGGCCTGGGGGCGGGGCTCGAGGTGTTGGGGCGGGGCCTAGCATCGGGGCGGGGATGGAGGGCGCAAGTGTGGGGCGGGGCCTAGTGCTGGGGGCGGGGCCTAGTGTTAGGGGCGGGGCCGGACACCGGGCGATGTGTTGGGCGGGGCCAAAGGCCCAAGCAGTGGGGCGGGGCCTCGCGTGGGGCGGGGCCTCGCGTGGGGCGGGGTCAGAGGGCGCGGGACCTGAGGGGGTCGCGAGTCCCCGTGAGGCGACCCGGGGCGAGGCTCCCCCCTCCCCCCAACCCCCCCCCAGCCCTGGCCTGGCCGACGGGGCGCCGAGCGCACGGCCCGGCGGGAGGGTTCGCGCTGGGAGCCCGCCGGCCCCGGGTGGGCGTCGCGGGGAGGGCCGGGAGGTGCGGGGCGCCCCCGCGGGAGTGCCGCGACCCAGTCACTCATCGGCCCGGGCCGTCCACCCGAGTGCTTCCTGTCGGCGTGCCTCCGCTGTGCTCGTGATGAGGAGACGGGGCCGCGCTCGGGTCTAGGCGCGGGGCCGCGCACGGGGCCGCGCTCGGGATCGCGCATGGGGGCTGGACACGGGGCCGCGCACGGGGCCGCGCACGGGGTCGCGCTCGGGGTCGCGCATGGGGGCTGGACACGGGGCCGCGCACGGGTCTGGGCACGGGGCCGCGCTCGGGATCGCGCACGGGGCTGGACACGGGGTCGCGCACGGGTCTGGGCACGGGGCCGCGCTCGGGATCGCGCACGGGTCTGGGCACGGGGCCGCGCTCGGGATCGCGCACGGGGTCGCGCTCGGGGCCGCGCACGGTTCTTATCTAGTCTAGGTCGAGCAGGGCTCCAGGCGCGGTATCGCGCACGGGGCCGCGCTCCGTCCTTGGTGTCACCCCTCTGGCCAGGGCGACGCTCGCAGGGGCTCGCACTTCCCAGTCGCACTGCTGGGACGGGGTGTCGCACCCGGTTGCGGCTGCGCGGTGCGGCGGGAAATGCTGGTGTGGCGGGGGTGGCCGAGGGCCTGCGGGTGCTTGTGGACACGGGTGGGTGGGGTTGAACTCAAGGCCACACGGGCCCCCGGCTGGCTCGGCAGCCCCCTCCGCAGCCCCTTGCGTCGTCTCTTGGTCCCAGGCCGCGCCCGTGGGGCGGCCCTGTACTCCCCCCAGGCAGAGTGGAGGGGGGCCTGGCCTGCTGTGAGCTGCAGTCTTGCGGGGGTGGGCGGGCTGCGATGGGGCGGGTGGCCAGCTTCCTCTTTGAGGGGGTCCTTGAACCCCCCCAGGAAGCCTGGGAACCAGGTGGGCGTCAGGACCGGAGCATGCTGGGGGCTGGCAGGGCTGCAGGAAAGGGAGCTCAGAGGGACCTGCGTGGGCTGGAGCCCAGCTGGAGACTGCGCTGTGGGTTAAGATAGGGGGCTTAGAGGGGGGCGATAGCACAGCGGGTAGGGCGTTTTTTTTGTTTGCCTTGCACGCGGCTGACCTGGGTTCGATCACCGGCATCCCATATGGTCCCCCGAGCACCGCCAGGAGTAACTCCTGAGTGCAGAGCCAGGAATAACCCCTGAGCATAGCTGGGTGTGACCCAAAAAGCAGAAGAAAAAGGGGCGTCTGGTGGGGGGCAGTCAGGTCTGGGAGGGCTGCCTAGGGCACCTCCAGGGCATAGGACAGGCTGCCTTGGACCCGTGCGGCCCGGGGAAGGGCAGGCCCACAGGTTTGAAGGGCCGGCCCTCAGGACTGCCTTTCCTCAGCAAACTCTGCTCAGCATTCTAGGGTTTTGTTTGGTTTTGTTTTGAGTTTTGTTTTGGGGTCACACCCAGCAGTGCTCAGGGCTTACTCCTGGCTCAGTGCTCAGGGGCCAGTCCTGGCAGCTCTTGGGATGCAGGGATCTGAAATGGATAGGCCTTACCCACTGTCCTTCCCGTTCGTCCACCTCTGTAAGCGTTCTGACGAAAATGCGATGTGGTCCACTTACGTGTGTGTGGTTTTATGCTGCCCACGGCCCGGTTTTCAGGCCGGATTGATTCAGAGCCGGCAGTGAGGGTCGGAGCCACAATACAGCGAGTGAGGTTCTCACCTTGCACACAGCAGACCTGATTTGAGCCCCGGCACCCCATCGAGTCCCCCAAAACTGCCAGGATCGATCTCTGAGTGCAGAGACACGAGAGTACCCCAAGCACCACTGGGTGTAGCCCAAGCAAAAGCAAAAAAAAACAAAAATCAGGGCTGGGAATGAGGCCCGTTTCTGACTCGAGTGAGTTCCGTCGGGTCTGAGTGTGAGAATCCATCCAGAGGCAACGGGCAGGCGTGAGTGCTAGAGACGTGGGAGCGGGCGCTGAGGCCGGGAAGGGTTAGTGGCAGCCCTGAGCTCTCAAAGACACGCGCCTCTCCCGGTGGGAAGAAGGGGGGTTCTCTGGCCACGCGTCTGGAGATTCCGGGGTCCTCCTGGGGTGACTTTTCGAGTAGGGGAAGCGGAGAGGGCCGCACAGAATGCTCACGAGGGGAGGCTGGTGTCGCTCCCTTCATGCCCTCTCCCCAGTGCCGGGGGTGTTAGTTTTTTTTTTCTGGGGTTAGATAGCTACACGCGCGTGCAAGCCAGGGAGCTTCCTCCCCAGCCTCCTGCTGCCGGTCCCGCGGGCCCAGAACCTCTCCCCGGTAATTGCTTTTCGTAATGTGTTTGCTCCAAACCAATTTCACGCCTGCGTGAGGACTCCGCCCTGCATTGGAGGCGCGGACCTCCCCACCACCGACCTACCCGCGTGGAACGCGCGCGCACACACACACACACACACACACGCTAGACATTTACCACCCCGCAGACACCAGGGTACAAGCGTGGACACGCAGCCAGCACGCGTGGGGCGCAGACGCATGCGCGGAAGGCTGGCAGCCGCCTGTCCAAGCTCCCGGTGCAACCAGTGGGCTCACACTAGAGTTCCCCGCGGGCCCCCCTGTGCGCTCTCACGCCCCCAGGCGCACCTGGTCCGGGGGGCCTTCGAGGCTCGACTTAGAGACGGACGCCAGGGGTCGCTGCATCACTCCGCGCCCCTCTCGCAGAGGCGTCGTGGCGCACGGCTGCCACCAGAGGGGGCCCGCGGACAGGGTCCCACGCTGCCCACTGCGAGCGGCCTCTCTCCGGTCCCTGGGTAAGACGCCCGGGCGTACCTGTCTTTGGCTGTGACTTTAGCATGCTTTGGGGTGCTTTTTTTTAAAAAAGCATCTTAGATGTTGGGCTCAGTCTGTGAAGGGGAGGCTGTCCCGCAGCGACACGGGCAGAGAGGGTGAGATTCAAAACGAAATTCCTCACCGTGAGCATTTCCCCCCAAAAGATTCCCCGAGAAGAGTCGGGGGTGAGGGTGGGGGACAGTCAGAGCACGTGGACAAGGACAGCAGCACTTCCGGAACTCTGCTTTTCCCGGCAAGGAGAGGCTCTTGCCCACAGCGGGGCGGGCTCGGATTCAGCCCGAGCAGCTTGCCGTGGTGCCGACCTGGATGGAGCCGGCAGCTTCTGTCCTTGGTACTGATGGGAGAGGAGGACGCAGCCCTTTCCCGGACAGAGCCTCTCAGGTCGGGAACTTCCGCTCCCGGCTCTGTCCCCTGAGTGTCATGATGGAAGGTCCTTTCCTCACACTCACCTGAGCCTTGGACCTGCTTTTGGAAGAGGCAGACTGGAGACGGAGCGCCACCTCCCACAGATGGAGGACTTAATATGAGAGAAAGGCCAAGGCCCCAGGACCTAGTGAGGGATCAGCAGGAACGGGAGTCCAAGCCACGCTTCTCTCACGCCCTACAGTTCAGGGGGGCACAGGCAAAGGGCTTGGGCTTCTACTTCACTTCCCACTCCGTTGTCTGGGATTTTTTTTTATCCTAGTGTGGCTCCTGAGTATCAAGGACGATGAAGAAATCCCACTTCATGACCCCAGGCTGGCATGAAAAGAGAGAGGAGATAAATGGATTATGAAACGTAGCATCTCACAAATGCCACATTCAGGTAGATCCAAGACCCTGGGACTCCCTAGCTACCTTGCAAAGATGCTTAGCCTCTGGGAGTGTTGGCAGCAAGCTTTAAGCCTCTCTCCTTAGTGCCAGTTTAAGCAGAGAATTCCACCTGACTGCATGCATGTGGTCCTGGGCAACGCGTGCTTGGCACGAGCTCGGTGCCATACATCTAGACGGTCTTTAACCTTGAGTCCTTGACAAGTCTGATCTATTCTGTCCCATCAGAGTGACAGGCTTATTAAAGTGGCTTTTTTACTGAGAAGGAGTGGTGAGAGGAAGAGGTTTTGACATTTATCTTTCTGTGGCTTTCAAATTTTGTTCTATGTGATTTTATTATCAATGCAAGAAAACTCATGCAGTTGCTTTCAGCGTTGTGGGGGAACACAGCTGGTGGTGCCTGGGGGATCACTTCTGGCAGTGCTCAGGGACTGCAAGCAATGCCAGGGATCAAACCGGGTCAAGCCTCATGCGAGGCAAATGCCTCAATCACCTCTCTCTCTCTCTCTCTCTCTCTCTCTCTCTGCCCTGCTTTTTTAAAAGGACTCTTCCTGCATGCCTTATTTGATTTGTGCTTTTACTGTTACTGCTTTAATTTCCATGATTCTTGCTCCAAGTTTCTTTCATTTATTAAATGTCTCGAGTCAGTATGCCCCGACTGTGTGCCCAACACTGCAAAGCCGTGAACCGGATACTGATCTCTCACTTTGTTGTGGTTGTTTGTTACTTGAGCCCCCTGGGCTATGCCCAGGGGTATCTCCTGAGAGGGCTTAGAGGCCCAGATGCAGTGTTGGGATTGATCCCCTTTCTTATCACTCCAGCCTGGCTGCTCACTTTCTAAGTGAAATACACACTCCTAGTCTTCCATGTTGATATTATGAAGTGTTTGCTTAATTTAACAAAGGATTGTTCTGTAACCCAGAAAGATGGCTCCAAGGGTTCAAATGTCCTGAGTTCTTCCCTGGTACCTCATGTTCCTCCCAAGGACTTCCGGGAGTGACCCAGTACCAAGCCAGGAGTAGCCCATTGGCACTACCAGGTGTTGTCAGAGAAAACAAAAAGCATCATCCTGAAGAGTATCTGTAGGAAGATGAGTACTTTTTTTTTTTTTAAGTCAGTCTCCAAGTGCTCAGAATAGGACCTCACATGTGTGGCAAGCACTCTACCATCAAGCCACATGCCCGGCCCCCAGGCTTAGTTCTGTGCTGGGTTGGGGTCCTCAGGCCCAAGTTCAGGCCTTTTTCTCTGTAGCAGCCTCTTCCCCCCTAGTCTTGACTTTTGGAAACACTGCGGGGTGGCCGGGGCCGGATTCCCCAGAGAGACCTGCCTTGCCTCTGGCAGACCTGGACTGGGCCCTTGGCACCACGGAGACAGTCTCACTGAGTGTCAGGTAGATCCGGAGATGGAGAAGGACTTTGTGGGAGACTCACTCTTCTCCTATCGCCTTTCTGATGCCTGGCGGTCAGCACCAGCAGGAGCACCCTACTGGGAGCCACCCTCTGTTCCCCTTCCACTTTGGCCACGGCAGCCTCGGACTCAGACACCAGCAGTGCTCCTCAGGCTAACTCGATCCTCACCCCCCACAAACCCCCTGAGACTCGAATTTCCTCCTGGCCCACGGTGGGGGCTCAGGGGCGCCCCGACTGGCTTTGCTGTGGGTTTTCCTCCTTCCCTGAGCCAAGTCACTTCGTCCATCCAGGCTCCATCTTCCTACCTACTCACCCGATTTTGCTGCTTGCTGGGTTTTGACCAGCCCGCCCTCCCCTCCCCCTTCCCCTAAACCCGCAGGTCTCAGGGACTAGCCGGTCCTCGGGTGTGTGGGCGGCCAGGCACGAGCCTCCTGGCCGACCGGCTGCGGTGGCCACTCCTTGGAGTCCTTGCTGCCCGCCCGTTGCCCCAGGCTCCTGCTCGCCCAAGCGCCCCTGACTTTTGCCTGTGCCGCCCAACGCCGCCGCCGCGGGGGGGACGCAGCCGAGGGGGAGGGCGAAAGGCGGGCGCGGGGCTGCGGCTGCGGCCCGGAGGCGAGCAGAGTCATCCGCAATTAGCGGATAATTAGCGCTGCTGACCCTCGGGGCTCATCAGTGCTCCTGGGGCCAGCCCCTAGCAATCAGCCAGGGCAGGTCGAGAGTGTCAGGCCGGGAATGAATAGGGCTCATCAGCAGAGCTGGAGCCGGGGAGCCAATCAGGGAAATTAATAGCGGGAGAGGAGAGGGAGTGAGGGAGGGAAGCGGAGACAGACAGACAGACAGACAGACAGAGACCTAGGTTGAACGGAGACACGAGAAGGGGGGGGGGAACGGAGTGAGACGGACTGGGACAGGGAATGGCTGGGGACGCGCCGAGGGGCCTGGGAGCGGGACTAGACCGGGCAGGCGAGGAGGAGGAGGAGGATGGGAGAGATGGAGGGGCCAGGTGAGTACGGGGCTAGCGAGGCCACCGCAGGGGCCACCCCGGAGCCAGGGGGCAGGGAGCAGCGCAGCAGGCGCCAGACCGGGAAGAGGCGATGCCAAGGGAAGGGGTGCGCCCGCGAGGTAGGCGGGAAAGCGCCCCCCGGAGACCCCCCTGCCGTCCGACCCCGGCCCGAGGGGCGCCTGGACACAGGCGCTGACCGGGCCCCGCGCCCCTTCGGGGCCGCCCGCGGCCGGAGCGCCGGGGCCCGGCCGGCTGCGTGCAGGGAGGGGCCCGGCCGGCAGCTGCCGCCGCCGCCGCCGCCGCCTCCTCGTGGCTCGCAAACTTTCACAAAGCGGCGTGTCCGGCCTCATCAATCTCCATTAATAATAGTTGGTTGGGCCGCGGGGGCGGGCGGGGTCCCGGGCCGGCCGCGCCGCTGGGAAACGGGCCCCGCGCGGGCGCGGGCGCGGGCGGCGGGCGCGGCGGCGGCGGCGGCGGCGGGCGGAGGGAGGAAGTGAAGCGTAATTTGAGGAAGATGGATGAGTCCGGAGGGCGACACCCCCAGCCCGCCCGCCCGCCCCCTCCCTCTTATGAGCGCGGGGAGCGCGGCGCCCGGGCACACTGCGCCGAGCCCGCGCCCCGCCGCCAGCCCGGAGCCCGGAGCCAGCCCTGCGCGGCGCGGGGCGCTCGGAGATGCAGCGCGGCGGCGGCGGCGGCGGCGGCGGCGGCGGCGGCGCGGGCGGCGGCGGCCCGGGGGGCGGCGGCGCGGGGGGCCCGGGCGCCGCCTTCTCCATCGACGCCCTGATCGGGCCGCCGCCGCCGCGCGCCGGCCACCTGCTCTACACCGGCTACCCCATGTTCATGCCCTACCGGCCCCTGGTGCTGCCGCAGGCGCTGGCGCCCGCGCCGCTGCCCGCCGGCCTCCCGCCGCTCGCCCCGCTCGCCTCCTTCGCCGGCCGCCTCTCCAACACCTTCTGCGCCGGCCTGGGCCAGGCCGTGCCCTCCATGGTGGCGCTGACCACCGCGCTGCCCAGCTTCGCCGAGCCGCCCGACGCCTTCTACGGGCCGCCCGAGCTGGCGGCCGCCGCCGCCGCCGCCGCCGCCGCCGCCGCCGCCGCCGCCGCCGCCTCGGCGTCCCGGAGCGGCGCGGAGCCCGGAGGCCGCCGCCCCGAGGGCGCGCTGGACGCCGACGAGCTGCTGCCCGCCCGCGAGAAAGTGGCCGAGCCGCCGCCGCCGCCGCCGCCGCCGCCGCCGCCGCCGCCGCCGCCGCCGCACTTTGAGACTTTCCCAAGTCTGCCGGGTAAGTGCGGGCCCGGCCCGCGCCGCGCGGGGGGCGCGTCCCGCCCGCCCGCCCGCCCGCCCGGCCCGCCGCGCGCCCCGACTCGCGGCCCCGCCAGCCCCGCCGCGCGCCCGCCCCGGCCCCCGGCCCCCGGCAGGGCCGCCCTCCTGCCCGCCCGAGCCCGCGCCCCGGCCCCGCTCCGGGATCCGCTCCTGCCTCTCCTCCGCGGGGAGCCGATGACCCGTCAGGGTGGGACTCCTGGGGGACACCCCGACAGGTCCCCGTGGGGGCGCCTGCTGCCAAGCCTCCCCCACTCCCCAGAGGACAGGATGGCCAGGGGAGGGTCTGTGACCCCACCTGCTTTAGCACACCAGAGGCTGCTCCGGCCGTCGTGACGAATCCACTAGAGGGGTTCAGGGCCCACCAGCTGGCCCAGACCCCGCACCCCCCCCCAGGGGAGAGCTGAGCCGGGGTGGGGGTGGGGGTGTCCCCCGGGGGCCTGGAATCAAGAATTCAGCTCCGATTCTGCAACCCGCGATCCGGGGGGCTAAGAGGCGCCGGGGTCTTGGGTGGTCCCGGCGGCAGGAGCAGACACCTCACACAGAACTGGGCCCCCATCTGCTGCCCCACACATACTTCACCTCCAGAAGCAAGACAGGGGGTCATGAGGGGCACCCCCAGGAGCGCCCAGATCCCGCCTGAGCCTGTGTATAGTCTGGGGGGCCCTGTCAAGACGAATGCCACGGACAAGTGTGGGTGCTGGACGCTGCCACTCACTCCCTTCATCGGCCCAAACCCGCTCGGCCTCCCGGTTCCTCACACCCAGCTCGGGAGGTGCGGGGCCGATTCCAGCCGAGACAAGGGGACCGTCCAGGAGTCCTTTTGTCCTTGGCCACAGCAGGGCAGATCGGAGGACAGGTTTGTGGCCTTCCTGGAGAGCATCTGGGGGGGTGCCCCCAGGGCTTCCAGGGAGGGGGTCTCCTCCTCTGTCCTCCTGTAGCCCTGGGCATTTTGAGCTTGGGGTTCAGCCGGTTTGGTTCTGTTCGTTTTCCTGTACCTCGTTGGGTCAGGGGACTCTGTGTCGTCGCCTGAGGAAACGATGGAGCAGCAGTGGGTAGGTGGCAGGAAGGGTCCGCGGGCTGACAGGGGAGGAAGGAGCAGCAGCTTGCAGAGCGGGCAGAAGGAAGGGTGCTGAGTGTCCTGGGGCTGAAGGGGGGGGTGCAGGGAGGCACCCCCACTCAGTGGGGGGGGGAGCGTCAGGAGGCCAGGTCCTCAGAACACGTGTGCCACCCTCGCCTCAGCCTGCTCTCACTGTGACCCTCACCGTGTGGCGGAGAGAAGACTGGCTGTAAAGCTTGAGAGGCAGGCAGAGGTCGTGGAGGCGGCCCCGTGGAGAACAGGGGACAGAATCAGGAACTGAGCTGTATCCCGACTTAAGGAAGGAGAGCTTCTGAGCGGCCGAGCAAGCATGCAGAGGGTAGGACATCACCGTGAATGCAGTGACCCAGGTTCAGTCCCCTGCATCCCAGGGGATGTCCCTAGAGCCTGCCAGGAATGATGCTGAGCACAGAGGCAGGAGTCAGCCCTGAGCACCACGGGGGGGGGGTTGTCTCCCCCCCGCTAAGGATTAGAGAGAAACTCGGAGCAAGGAGGAGGAGGGCTGCCGGGAGGAGGGTTTCCAGAAGAGGAGGGATCTTGAGCCTGGGCAGAGTGGAAAGGGATCGTGCCCGTTGGAGCTGGAGCGTGTGTGAGATTTGAAAGAGGATTAGGAGGGGGCTGAGTCAGAAACACGAGTCGGGAACAGGGAAAAGTTTCGAATAAATTTTCATTAAGGTTTTTCATCACAGGGGCAGTGGGAGACTGGGTTTTCTACTGAGAGGGTGATGAAGTAAAGATGTTTGTTACCTGGGGAAATGCTGGAAGATGCTTGTGTGCTTGGGGCAGAGACAGGGCTTGTCGCTGCTAAGAGAAGGGCAGGGAATGAGTCTGGGGGAGCGAGGGTGATCCCGATCAGACTGGGAAGAGACTTGGCAGAAAGGGCTTACGCGGGGCTCCTGGGGTTGAGTAAGGAGGGATTCAGAGAAATCATGGGGAGGAAGGAATGTGGGAATCTTCCTGTGACTGACACTTCTTAGCACTGTCAAAAGGAACTGGGGCTGGAGAGATAGCACAATGGGTAGGGTGTTTGCCTGGCACGCGGCTGACCCGGGTTCGATTCCCAGCATCCCATAGGGTCCCCCGAGCACCGCCAGGAGTAACCCCTGTGCATCGCCAGGTGTGACCCAAAAAGCAAAAATAAATAAATAAAAATAAAGTGAAGCCCTCTTTAAAAAAGAAAAAAAAAAAGGAACTTCCCAGCTCTTCCTTGCCAAACCAGAACCAGTCCTGTCCACCGTGCTGGTCTTGGTTTCCCCGCCCGTCTTGACACAAAGGAGGGGCTGACACCTTAGCACAGCGGATAGAGCATTTGCCTTGCACACAGCCAAGTGGGTTTGATCCCCGGCACCCCATATGATCCCCTGAGCACTGCCAGGAGTGATCTCTGAGCACAAAGCCAGGAGTAGCCCCTGAGCACTGCCGGGTGTGGCCCCCAAACCAGACATCAAAAACAGAACATAACAACAACAACAGAATAAAACAGCAGTTGGGGGCACGGGGAGAGACAATTACAGAAAGGTTAGACAAAGTCATTTTGCGGAGGGGACCTGGCCCATGGTGACAGAGGTGGGACATGAGACCGCCATCTTGGGGATTGTATTTGAGTGTTTATTTCGTGTGAAATAAAGAGTTTCCTGCTGCAAATAATGGGATTGAAACCTCAATGTGCGAAGAGTTGGGAGAAAGAATGCTATCTGTGAAGTGACAGAGAAGAAATGACTGTCCTGGTGTGAATGGGTCGCATTGTTCTGAAATTATTCATTTACATTTGTTTGGGGTTTTACAATGACTAACCCTCTGAAATGAAATTATAGGGAAGATTAGGCCAATTTGGTGAAAGTGAGTGAAAGTTCTTTTTGTTGGGAATTACAAGGACGATTTTTTTTTTAATTGCTGAGTTTTAAGACAGTTAACCACTCCACTAGAATTAATGGACAAGAAAATGGAACTTTATTATGATATGATTGCAGGGGTAGAAGGCTTATTAGCACACGTGTGTATGAGGGGACGCACACACACACACACACACACACACACACAGAAAAACTGAGTAACTGGGTTGGAAAGATATGAGCAGGTAGATTGAAAAGAGGCCTAGGGAAGGAGTGTGAGGAAGTAGAAAGTTAACTGGGGAAGGTGCTTTAGCAGGAGTGAAAGAGAGGAAGGAGGGTTGAGTTAGTCAGGAAGATTTTAAAGTATGAATCCGGGGAGAGCCGGGAATGGGGTCCTTGGGTGAGCCACTTCCGTCATCTGAAACACAGGGCATGGCTGGAGAAGGCTCAGTGAGCCGAGGCAGGTGCTCTGTGCCCAGGAGGCCAAGCAGGGGCGAGGGCGCCCCCCGAACCCAGAACCAGCCCCTGAGCTCGGAGGGGTGGGATTTCCCCCCCTGCCCTCATTTGTTTGATTTTGGGCCAAAGCCGGTAGTCCTCGGGGCCGATCCTGGCTCTGTTCAGGGGAGCACGTGGTGTGCTGGATACTGAGCCTGTGCAGGCAGGCATCCTCCCTGCCATGCTGGCTTCTAGGCCCCATCTCACACAAGTGGCAAAGAAGGGAACTAGTTGGGAGGCCACAGCCAAGGGTGCTCAGGGTTTACCCCTGGCTCAGTGCTCTTGGAAGTGCTTGGGGGCCTCTGGAGATCAACCCTGGCTGGCTGCGTGCAAGGTGCCTTACCTGCTGTACTATCTTGTGGCCCCGGTAGGACATTTTTGTGTTTTCTACAACGTGGCATGTTCAGAATCTGACTTCAGTGTTAACACAAGATGCTACTGATAGGTTTTGTGTTTCCTGTACACGCTCAGTCTCGCTCCCCTCGCGTGGTTCCTTGGGGGCCAGAGGCAACACAGAAGCTCTAGCGAGTTGTCAGGGTGATCATGAGAGGGAAGGACTGTGAATTGGGGTGCAGCGTGAAGCCTTGGGGTTGGGGGAGAGCAGGCTGCCAGCGCTAAATGAAGAGTGTCTGCGTGGAGGAGGGCAGAAGGAAATTTGCAGTTGGCGGTGTGTCCAGAGCCATGACCCATTCTGAGAGAAAAGGGTGGGACAGCCTGAAAGCAAACACTTAAAAAGTGGGGGGTAGGGGCTGGAGCGATAGTACGGCGGGTAGGGCGTTTGCCTTGCACGCGTTTGACCCGGGTTCAATTCCCAGCATCCCATATGGTCCCCCGAGCACCGCCAGGGATACTTCCTGAGTGCAGAGCCAGGAGTAACCCCTGATCGTCGCCGGGTGTGACCCAAAAAGAAAAAAAAAGTGGGGGTAGGGCTCCCCTATGTAACGGTCAGACGGCTGCCGTGAGCACACGGAGAGGCTGCTAGGAGAGGCGTCAGTGCTGGGGATGGCCAGGAACACTGTGGCCCAGACGATAGAAGACGAGAGACTTTGTTCTTTGTTTCGTTTGAGGGTCACACCGGTTGTGCTCAGGGTTTGCTCCCGGCTCTGCACTCGGGCAATATTCCTGGAGGATTTGGGGAACCCTCTGGAACGTGGTGGGTTGCACCCTGGTCAACTGCTTGCGAGGCAAGCGCCCGCTCGCCCTCTCTGCCATCTCTCTGGCCTGAAGATAAGAGACCGGGAGGGAGAAGTGAGCATTTATTTTGTTTTCGTGTTGCAGGGGGGCGGTGTTGCCGGTGTTGCCATTCCGGGAGGGTCTGGAGACATGTCCGGAGTTGGGCTTCAAACCGAGGTCAGCCACACCAAGGCAAGCACCTCACTCCCTGGTCCAGGAGCATTATTTAACAACCCGAAGGGTACAAAGTACTACCTGGTGAGTGGAGCTGGGCAATAAGGACGGCGTTTGAGGCGAGCAGGGAAGCCTCTCGGGGCGCGTGAGTGCCGGGAGCCAGGGAACGTTGCGAGGATTGTCAGACTCTGAGTCGGTAGCTACAGTTGTCTCGCCTGCTATGTTTCCTGCATGGAAAACAGGAGCCTCGCCTGGAATCTCCTGGAATTGGAGGCGCCTGCTGTGAGCGGCAGGCAGACGCTGCTCCTGGAAGCGGTGAGGAGCTGAGTGTGTTTCTAGAGAGACAGCGTCCGTGGAGGGCGAGTGCCCCAGTGTCCTTTGGAGAACCGCTGGCTTGGCCCGATGTGCTGGAAGGGGCATTTATTGAGGAGCTATGCTGGCTGTACTTTGGGCTCAACTTTACCACATCGGCACTGCAGCTTTGCCTGGGATGCGCAGTGCAATTTAGGGAACGTAGTTGGTATTCTATTAGGGACTTAGTAAGTTTTGGGTTTGTTTTTGCTTTTTGGGTCACACCCGGCGATGCTCAGGGGTTACTCCTGGCTCTGCACTCAGGAATCACCCCTGGAAGTGCTCGGGGAACCATATGGGTTACTGGGGATCCCTCGCTGGTTGGCTGCACGCAAGGCAAGTGCCCTGCCCACTGTGCTGTAGCTCTGGCCTCTGGAGTGAGTATGTCTAAGACCCCACGGGAGATGCAGAGTCAGGGAACGTCTCTTGGCTTCTGTTGCCTCATCTGTAATCTCAAAGTTCCAGTTCGGATTATTTTAATGCTGGGTTTCTCTCTCGCTCTCTTTTACCTGTTTATTTTTTTGGTTGGTGTGTGTGTGTGTGGGGGGTAATACCTGGCAGTGCTCAGGGCTTACTCCTGGCTCTGTTCTTAGGGATCCTCCTGGCAGGGCTCTGGGGACTATGTGGGATGCCAGGGATCAAATCAGCTTGACCATGTACAGGGCAAGTGCCCTAACCACTGTTCTGTCTTCTCAGCCCCCCTCACCCCGCCCCTGCCAATGTTTCTTGCAATTCCATCAGATAAAAGCTCTTTTTTTTCTAGCCTCAGGGTTTAAAAGAGGCTTGTTAATGTGTAGACGGGCTTTCTATGAGGAGATCTGTTAACTGTGGGTGGAAAATATTATATA